TGGGTGAATGCAGGCCGAAATTCGTGAGGTTTTAGTATGCAGCGTTTGGTTGCTTTGGCTTAGATTGCTGGCCGGGGATTATTTATATCAATATTTTAATGATTTTTTTATATGGAGTCGTAGGCCAACACCCTCGCGACAATTGTCCCCGCCCCCTCCCCCTTGCCAGCCCCTTGGATTATGTAAGTCGCGTTTCTATTCTCTCTTTCTGTGCGGCAAAACGCTTTCGAAAGTTGCAGCTGCTGGATGCAGGCCGCAAGTGAGACAGTTGGTTACTCGGTTACTTGGTTACTCGGCTAGCTCCACATGACACAATTTGTTAACTAGATTATTATGTAACCCCCACTCTCTCCCTCTCCCCCGCTCCCCCTTTCGGTGTCTAATCAAACAACATGCAAGCAGCCGCCTGCCTGCATATGCAAAAATAACAATTAGCCATCATTTTGATGCCGGCAACGAGCGAAAACGAATCCCAAGATTTCAGTTCACGCCACTCCAATCCAAAGCAATCCACTTCGGTTGCAGACAGGCGGAGATGATAATTAAATCTCTTGCGTTGATGGGTTGCCAGGCCAAATTGAGTTGACATCTAGTCTGAGCCTGGCTAATTGATGGCCAATTGTTGGCTCTTGATTTGAGATTTCAGCCTCAGAAGAAGCATATGTTCGCCTGGCGAAGCAAATGCGGAAGCTTATTAGTTATGCCATAAACAAAAGCCTAATTCATATTGCCTTTTCCTCACCTAATACATCATTAATTATATGAGAAACAAAAGACACGCAACACACCTCGAATACTATTTCAATTTCGTGCAGACACTAGTCATAAATTAATATATAGACAAGATTTTGACCAAATTGATCGACGGTTCTTAACTCATAATCTCGGCTCACTTTCGGTTTCGATAATAAAAAGGCAATTCATTTTTTCCGCCACTCCGACTGTTGATTGTGTGAGAAACGCGTTGCAACTCCCATTCGCGGATGATGATTAATGGAGCCCCGCCGATCTGAATGTGCCCCCATCTGGGATGGTCTCTCTAATGGCCCACAATTGTGGCAATCGCTGTAATTAGCCATCAGCTATGTATTTCTGCCTCAATTGTGTCACTTTTGCAATGGCCCGACTCGCAAATAGTTCATTTGCACAACGTTAGCGAAATTGTGTCAAGTTCAGAGCCGCCGAGGCGGAGATTTAAATTTCCACGTCTCATGAGGAAACCCGCTTTGGCCAGCTTTCAATTGCTGCAAATTTATGGGCTTTTTGTGGATTTTCCTCGCAGTTTCTTGGCCAGCTGCGTTGACATTAAGGCCAAACGAGTTGTGCGTTTACGCACGATTCTGTTGCGAATGGATGAATGAAAATTGTGGCCGGCAGCTCATTGATTCGGACAATTATTTGGCACGTGCTGGTTGGACAGACATTGTGTCATTGTCTGAAATCTAAGTATTGGACACACTGGAAATTCTGACTCAAAGAAAGATTGCATTCCGAAATAATTTAAGTTTAATGCCTTATACAATTTATTTAAGGCAGAATACCCAAAATTATAATTTTTTCTTCAATGTTTTTTGCAAGTAAGTAATGTTTTACTACCTGATTAGTTTAAGTGATTTTTTCTGGGCGTTCTACCCCATTTGAAAAAATATTATTTAAATTTATTTTAGTTACTTCTTTAATTCCACCAAATATCACCATAATTAGATTTTTCTTTTTGAATTTCAGTGTTTAGTTTTTATAGTCTATAGTTTAGTTCTATGTTTCACTCAACCCAATCCTTTAATATCATTACTTTGTGTTTTATTTTACTGTTTTGCATTTTTTTTATTGATTTTTTAAATTATTTTTTTTACGCATTCATAAAAAGGAACTACAACCACAATAAATTGACATTTAATTCGTACTTTGTTTGGCATAAGTATTATGTTTGGGGCGCTGATTGAAGTTTTCTTTGTTCAAATTCGGTAGCCCGTTCCCCGAAAACCTTTATGGCTTCATTACATTTAGGAATCCAGCTACATAAATTACACATTGTGGAGCCCATGGGGCAAACACTTTGCCCGGGGCATTCACATGCCCGAGCGACTTCGACCGGAGCCACTTCATCATCGTCCAAAAGTGTGGCCTTGTCAATGCCGTTTCGGATTCGGAGGAATAATAATAAAAGCCGCGCATATCTGGTGCAGCACCCAGTAAACAATTGCGATTGTCTTGCAGTTGCAACTTCAGTTGCAGCCACAATTTTCTCACACGAGCGATTGAGTCAGTGGGGATTTTCGGTATGGAGTTTTGAGTATAGAGTTTTATGGTTCGGCGTGTGAGAAATGCCACGATCCCCACCCATCCACTTGAACCCAGGCAATTAATGTTACGATTTCAATTTGGTTCTGAAGTGTCCAACTCTTTCGACCAGGTGTAGGTGCTGGCGTGATTTTGAAAGTGCAATTAACACGCTACTTAAACAACTGAATCAACTTAATTAAGTATCTATTAAGTTTACTTTTACTTTCGTCAGATTTGCTCTGGTCGGTTAATCAATTAGCCTGACCCTGAAATTGTTTTGGGCTCGTAAAAAGCTGAACACTTTAATGCTTAATTATCTCCGATTTCCCGACGGGGTGTTTCAAGTTTAACGCAAGTGTTGAATTTGTTAGGGCCAAGGAAAACACCAGCATGCTAAGCAAATCAAGATTGATAGTGCGGAAAGCTATTAAAAATTATTCAGAAATTGCATATCAATATTCATATGTATTTTAAATGGGCAGATTTGACTGTGAAATATTCATTTTAATTTTAAATGAGGAGTGCTTTATTATGTTTATATTGTGATTTTCTGCATTTAATTATTCCTTATACCAATGATATTTATTTATTTAATGACGAGCTGAGAAACTATATTAATAAAATCAAAAATTGTATTTCAAAAAAAGGGTAAGTAAAATTTTTTTTTTTTAATATATGTATACTATATAGTCTAAAACCGTTTGATGTGCCTGAAAAACTAAAATAATATTTAATTAAATTTTACATTAACAAAAACAGATGTAAAACATTAGTTAAAGATACAAAAAATTGTTATTTTATTCGAATTTGTATATAAATACTAACTTTATTCAATTGAAAAAGAATTCAAAGAATTGTATATATAGTGATTATTTTTATCTGCAATCTTATTTTTATCTGTAATCTCTCAGAATTCTTCGTTGATTAGTTAGCCCAATCATCTTTTGCCACTCCAAAATCTGTCACTCAATTGTCACTCAGCTCCGTGGGAAGCTCTGAAATAAAAACTATATATATATAATAGATACACGCCAACAGCCGATTAGCTGAGATCTTTAGATTGAAATGTTGGAATCATAATTCCCGAGATCAGCAGACACAAGCAATTTGTCGGCGATTGGAGCACGTTTAATTACAATAGAATTTGCATTCAAACAGAACAACAGTCAGTCGACATATATATAGAAATGTATATATAGTTATGGCTGGGCATGAATCACTTAAAAGCGAATGCCGCTTGCTCGGTAATTGCGAATAAATCGAAATGCATTTCGTGTAAACGTGTTAAAGAGCATAGACTAAATGTGAGGCACAGCCGAAGGTCGCAAATGGTCAGCGGCTATGTACGTCAGCAGAACAAACCCATTGAAACTGTAATAGTAAGACTCAAATTGTAACAACTGCGGATTCAGATTCAGATTTTCTACAGATTTTCCCACAGCCAGCGAACGCGTTTGGGCGTTTACTACTGCCAGTTGGCTATATTCCATGCTGTTTTAATGGCCAACGGCGCCGCCATGACATTAAGTGGCCGACTATGAACGCGATCGACTTCTATATTTCATATCCTGCAGACACCTCCCTCGGTTCCGCACTGCTACACCCAGCAGAATCTGCGGATTTTGGTTTGGCTTCTGACTTTTCAGCAAATTGCAGTGGCACTTGGCCTTTGCAATCGCGACCTGGAGGTCGGCCAATCCATAAACACATGGTGGGTTGCCACCAGAGGTGTCCGCGTGATTTTATCGTATTTAATAACAAGTTCTGTATGGATAGGAAAAGGCATTACTTTCCAAGAAATATCCAGAGATATATACTCACGACAGCTATGCTAGTCAACTTGTAAGAGAATATGTTAATCAATATATAATTAGCGCCAAACGGGGCGAAGCATTTAAAGCATTGATTTAAATACAAATAATAACACACTTTAATCAACTTTTTATCGTTCTTTGTGGTTGGTTCAAAGTGCCAATAACAATCTTATAGATCAATTAAATCTTACCAAAGACTTGTATTGAAATCAAAGTCCGGCAAACTCTCTAAACCTTTAATCTCAGAAAGGGAAAACATATTGGATACTTAACTTTAAGCTGATACCATTTATAACTCAATATAAAGAAAATATAAATAAAATATATATAATCCTTAATGTGGAAATATTGTCTATATTGTCAAAAGCAAAGTCCATAAAAATAAAAGTTAAATACAAAACTAATAGTTTCTGCTTAGTTTAAAAATCGTCAAAATTAAGAAACTGTAAAAGACAAATTTAACTATAAAGGTATAAATCAATGTGTTTTACTGATAAATTATTTAGTAATTCAGACTAATCCAAGCCTAAAAGCTAACTTCATATTAAGCCAACAAAAATACCTAATCCCAAAAAACGTTGAATACTTTATGGAGCATAAATAATTTTCAATTTAATACCTAACCAAAGTCAGATACTGCCAAATACATTTAGTGAACCCCTTTTGGTTTCTGAATACCATAATCATATAACATTTATTCAAGAAACTTGGCCACATATCATTATTGTTTGTTTTTGTGTTAATAAATATTTTGTAATATGTAATTTTTGGCTTACAATCTAACAACATATTGTTGGTTATTAATATTTAATGTATTTCGAATACAACAAGAATCATAGATAATATATATATTTATAACTAATATGGAATACTTTGGTGTGTGCATGTGTGTGTGCGTGTGTGTAGATTCGCAGAGAGCACGTAGTCAGATGTGTGTCTGTGTGTGTGTTAGTCGAGGCATATTTTAAAAATACAATGTAATCATAATTTCTAATTTAAAACTCTGCGCGGGTGTTTCTAATTTAAATTAGAACAGTAGACAATACTTGGCTTTTGAACATAAGTTCAATGGTTTGTGACAATGCAAATTCTTATTTTTCTTTAAAGGTTTTATTTTACTAAAGTTTGGTTAGTTTTCCGTGTTTTCTGTCGTTAATTCTCTTCAGTAGGGATTGTAGCCAGCATTGCGTTTGCGTCCCATGTTGCAGATCTTAAAGTGGCAAGGAGACATATCTGAAGGGGGTTTAAAATAAGGTGGTTAATACACTTTTTCTTGGCTTTATGTTTGGGCTCATGCAACACTTACATTGTTTACGTACTAATTTTGAGGATCGGAAATAAAACACATGAAAATAAAACAAACCAAAAACATAAATTAGTCAATCATGCCACATTTAGGTTTTTTTTTATATAATTAGGAGTTGGGGAGTTTTAGAGAATTAAAAGCAATATATTTTTCTAATAACAAGAAACATATACATATGGTAAGATTACTTAATAATTTGCTAAATATTTCTATCATACAACAAGTATAAATAGATTGTAATAATACGTTAAGAATTTAAGTTATTATCTTTAAAAAGAAGAAGTTTAAGCACATTTCTCAAAAATATATGTTAAATAAAGTTAAAAGATTTTGTTTAATTTTATTTTATTTTTTAACGTTTTCTAGGTATGCAAAAATATTAATTTTTTTTATTTTGAATAACTCTTTTTTCCCCTTTTAATGAAAATTGATATGCCTACTCACATTGAACATTCTTCTTTGTGTTGTGATCCTTGAGGGATGGTTTTGGAAACACTTTCTTGGTGGGTATATTGGTAAATCGGTTGACGACATTATAGCGCAGTTCATCCCCTGCTCCATTATTCCCGAGTTGGTGGAGTCGGGCCAGCAGGCGGGAATTGGCCACCTCCGGCTCCTCGCTCTCCTGGGTAACTCCAAAGTCATCATAGTCGGCGGTCAGCAGGAGATCCCTCAGCGATGGCCACTTCCTGGCGAAGGATGGCAGTCGCTGCTGCTTCTGTTCCAGCTGCTGTTGCTGGAGCTTCTGGAAGTCAAAAGCAGGAGCAGTTGGCTTAGTTTCCTGTCGACAGGAATATCAATTGACTCTTACCAACTGCTCGCCATAATAGTTGTTGTCCTCATTTGCGCCTCCCAGGAGCTCACTGAACGACAACTGCGTGTTGCTGCGGGAGGGGCGTGGCAGGGCGTTCCCCGGCCCAATCGCAATTGACAGGAGCACAATGACAATGGCCCAGTGGACAGGCGAACTGCCACATGTGGTGGGCGACGACAGGGCAGACATCCTCAACTGCGGAATGCAAAATCAATCAAAACATTAGGGGACACATTACGTATTTATAGAGTCTTAAACTTTATATTATAAGTTGAGAAAACTAGGTAAATAGGAATGTTGGGAAATAAAGGTAAACATATCAGGTTGGAATTTTAATAAAAACCTGATGATCTAAGCTTCTCGTTTTTACGATTTACACAAATATGTTTTAACTTATTGCCTTAAATTCTCATACAAATAAAAATGTAATAAATTTAAAGTAAAAAGTAAATTTAATAAGGAAAAAAGTATTTAAAGTGCAAACAACATTTTGTCTGGAACAATTAGGAAGGGGCAGGAACACGGGCCCACCCCCGGAACACATGACCCAGCCACCCTAATCCCGCTGCCACCCCATCTCCAGGACCTTCCAGGACCCTTCAATGCTTACGCAAAGGGTTTCCTATTACAAACAACACAAGTTAACAAAAACAAAACGAGTTGCGGCAGGCTGAGCAAAAATATGCGTGAATGTTTCGAGGGGTTTCGGCCCACTCGAGGTGTTGGGTACTTCAAATAAGTCACGTTGCAGTTGGCCAACAAGTTGGCCTGCTCAATGGCATCAGGGCCGTGTTCCAGTTAAAAGTTTTGGCTTTCTTAATGTTTCGCCGCCTCTCCATGAGCATGTTCTAAAAACAGACGAGGGCTTCTTGAAAGTGCGTCTCTCAGATTCAGGTCACATTGCAATATCACCACTTGATATGCTGCGGACACGGGTCATCAGCGGGTTAAGGCTGATTATGCCTCTCGTAATTGACATTTATGAAATATTAATGCCTAATTAAGCTCAAGCTTTGACGCTGGGAGTGACCGGAATGCCAAAGGTGGGCGGCGAACTCATTATCAAATAAAAAGGGGTGGATTTTGGGGAGGTTAGACCATGACTTTTAAAAATTGTAAGTCATTTGGGTTGGTTAGCAAATGAATGAATGGGATAATAAATGGGTGGCTCTTTAGTGCTGAAGAAGATAAGTGAGTTAAACTATAAGTTGGAGTTTATAAAGTGTAGAAAGAGCAATGGTAAATGGTAAGCTTAAGAAAACTTTAATATTATTTGTCAATTGGGTTAATTTCCATCATACTGAAGGGTCACCAAATGTGAATTTTACAAGAAAACAAATCCTCTCCTTAAACGTTTCTTTGTTAATGGTTAGGAAAAAATATGGTTAATTAATTATGGTCATTAGAAGTAGTAAAAATATCGAATGGTTCTTATCTGCCTTTTTAGTAGCATTATTATCTTTATCTTAACCTGTGCGCCACGCAGCTGGCAACATATTTTTCATTTATTGCAGTTTATGACCAAAATAAACGAAAAGTACGCCTTATCCCCATTATTTGTTGTTGCCGACTGAGCCAGATTTTTTAGCTCGGCATTTTCTTCTATTTGTTTTTACCTCTTGAAAGCAAGTGCAAGCGATAAACTTTGGCGATCGTGTCAGCGGCTTGTTCATCTCAATTGGTAATTGATGTCGCAGCGTAATCGCGCCAAACGCATTTTAACGGCCCAATAAAAACAAATAAAAATGTTGCCGATTCGAGCGGAGCTGATAATGCACTGATGTTGTGGCTAATTTGCGATCCCCAGCCAAGCTCATCTCTATTTTGGTATTGGAGTCAAGGCCTTGCGCGTACAGGTTTCATTGAACTCTGGGGCGGGAATTTTCCCCCGTAAATATAGTGCCTAATTACTATTACTATTTCGGGAAGGCGTTGAACATTGAATTTATTTGACAGTTTCCCATGACGTTTGCGCGGGTTATTAAAAACTGAAACTGAACGGTGTCCGATAAGCGATAAGATGACAAAGTATAACACAATAGGGCTTACTAAATTGCTAATTATGCAGGGCAGAATTAAGTACAGATGTGGTCAAAACAATAGTGACATTTTACTAATTTAAGCATGATTTGTAAAGCTGTTTCTGAATGGGAAACATCTAAAAATGGAACTAACTATTTAAAAAATACTAAGTAAATATTTATCAAATAATATTAGGTCTAACACAATTTTAATTATTATTAGTCATTGCTAAGTCTGTATAAATAACAGCTTCTAACTGGTCTGATTTAGCCAAAGGGAGATGTAACTAAAAAGTATACCAAGAAGATCTTCACAATAATCTAGAACTTATTTTAAGAATATACCCACGAATTTTCAGCTATTTCAAAAGCTTAATCTATGCTCAAAAATTCCATAATACCTTAATCTCGACATTTGAATACAAACTAGGCTGGGGGTCTTAACTTCAGTGACCCAAATCGTATCATCAACAGGGAATATAATAATAAAATCGTTGGGTTTCGTTCTTTTATTTGCCCGCCATAAAGTGCGTCACCAGGCACGTCATAAAATATCGGACCACAAGCAAAACGGAGAGCTAGGAGCTTGTTCTTATCAAGAACAATAAGTTCAAATCTACTGACACGCCCTCTTTTTCCTCGCTTCTCGAGCTGTGTAAACAATAGTTATCTCCATCCGAATCTAAGTTGGAATCCCCCACCTCCGATGTATTAAAAAAACTACGCAATACTTTCGATTCACGAGACTTCCATTGAAACTTTTAGAGTTCGTCGTTATTTTGCTGCCCTGATAAGGCGGCTACAATTATTTTCTATATGTGTGAAACATAATTAAATCGAAATTCCGCAATGAAATGACAGTTCTGAAAAACGCTGCTGATAATGTATATATAAATAAATTACATATAGAAATGTTCATTATCAATGAGGCAAAAGTAATTTTCTTGGCGCCATTTAGCTGACCCCTGACTTGAATTCAATGATTGGATTAAATATTTCATGATTATGGAAAACCTTAGGTTAATCCTTAATCTCAACTATAAATAAATATTGAGGGCAAGTTTAAATAAAACTAAATAATGTATTAATTAGTTTAATTAGTAAGAGTTAAATACTTAAAAATTTATTTCGTAATCATAGTTATAACTCACCTTTTTCCAAATTTACTGCGATTAATTAAAAACTCGTTCTTGTCTAGTTCTTGACACTTGATCTCAAATGTAGTTTATTCCGGTTTAACTTTCCACTTTAACTGTACTTTTTTACCGTAGCTGTACTTTTTTAATGACTTGTGTCAAAACTGTACTTCAAATTTGTTCAGCAGTAGTCCAATTAAACCACTAAATATAGTCAATAGATTAATGATTCAGCTTTAAATATGAATTTTTTGCTCCGCCTAGCGAATCTTAACCGTTAGGTGTGACAATGCAGAATAAACGCAAGTCCGTTGGGAGCATTTGTTTATATAGGCGCTCGAAGACCGACGCCGCAAAAAAGGGTAATTCAACAGGTACAAATACGCAACCGACGACGACACTTCGGAGTTGACAGAAGTCTAATGTTCGTGTGGGTGGGTTTTCGGGGAGGTGGTGTTTTTCCGCCCACCGGGGGTCAGGTTTTCGGGGTAAGGGTGCGCGAGTACTTGAAAAGTCTTAGTATTTCTATGTCTATTTAAAAGTAAACTTTTAATTTTTGGGCACTCGGATTCTCTTACTAGACGCGTTCTTGTTTGGCGGCGAACTAAACACAGCGGATCTCAGATCTCACAAGAACTGACTCAAGTCGGTTCGAGCCTTCGGCCCCGATCTTCGTGCGTTTGTCGTGCCACGCTTTTGACAAATCGACCGATAAAGCCAAGATTTATGATCAGCGCTATATAGTTAGTAGGGGCTGCGCTACAGCACTGGGGATGGGTCATATAGGTGCGGTAAAATCACTTGAATTATGTCCCAGTCTGATCTCTGAACCCCAATTACTTGTACTATCGAGGGGTTTACGCCCTCACTTGGTTCATTGACACGAGGCATTACTTTTCCAAGGTAATATACCCAAGGTTTCCAATAATCTTAGTTTTGGGATGAGAGCACTAGACTGAGATTCCAAAAAAGTTCCCACATGAACCCTTAGTTTTTACTGTAGGTCATTAAACTTGTCATGATTTAGTTGGAATATTTCAAAAATTAATTGGGTCAATGGCGATTTGCAGTTTATAAACAGCCGATGGTGAAATCCCAAACTGTTATTGTAAACTCTTGGGATTCAACTGAAATCATGACATTTTGGGTACCTGTAAATAGAACCCGTTTGTAGGGGACCTGTCACATATCTTAATAAATGTTTTTAACAAGATATGAACCCTAATTGTTGGGCAAATAAGAAGGATAAAAATAAATTCGCAGCTACCAGAATTCATACAAAAATAGAATGGAAATTTACACATGTCCATCGCAGAGATAACCAAACTGATCTTATCTCTTATGCTTACTTATCACGGCAAATCTGGTTTCTGAAAAGAACAAAAAAGTGACGCAATACCGGCGCGGAATTAAATCACACAGAAACCTAAATTAATTGGGGGTGCCGTGACACAGAAATATTTAAATTTAAATTTTAAGATTATTTTTCGCCTATAGAGAATCTCCCAGAAGTTAGTTCCTAATTTAAATGCGTCGCATATAAGACAAAGTCCCAGCAGACAGTAATTAATTCCGTCTAGTCTGTAGTAAGATTATTTATACTCTGCAAAGCTCTTGTACGATCCGAGAATATCGGAAAATAGCCGTCTAATCTCGGCGGCCACGCTCCTTCCGCAGGCTTTTGTGATTAAATTGAATTTTATGGTTACATCACCCCGAATCTGAACCCAAATCCGGCGGGGGAGTCTCGCTCATCACTTGTCCGTCTGATATTGATAAGCGGTTTTTTTTGGAAGCCGCCTACTGCTGATAGGGAATCAAATGGCAATCATATCAGTGCTAATTGACACTTATTAAAACGCGACCGTCAGAATTGACTGCGTGCCGGAACAAAGGCAATATCACGTGCCGCACAATTATCAGCAGTTGCGAACATCACGCGACTGCATGACTTTCAAAGGGCATCAATATGATTTCTAAATGATTATTGAGTCACCTGATGGATAACTTTTTTTCTAAACATCCATAGCAATGCACTTAATTGCGCTTTATTGACACAGTCGCCAAAATCCAGTTTGAATTGCCGCCAAAGCTAATTTTAACCGGCTTGCAACACTGGCTAACTAGAAGCCCTATATCTGTAGAGCTATCGATATTTTAATTAGATGTATGCCGGAATACGCATTACATAACTTTTATGTCTTATGATTGGTTGTTTCAGTAAAAATTAATTTAACAATAATTTTAACTATTCTAAAATATTAAATATTTTTAAAATATTAATGCTAATCAGTAATTATGCATCAAAATGTAGTGTACTTTATAGAACAAGTAATAACTCAGTGGAAACACTCAATTTTCAATTAGAACCTATCGAGAACAGTCAGTGTAACTGCACCTGCGCCGCCTGGTAACACTGTTCGCCAGTTGGACTGTGGGGGCGAAAATAAAAATAAGAATAATCATGTCGACGCTGCAACTGGAATTTTCACAGGCAATGACCGACTTCAAAAAGATGTTCCCGGACATCGACCGCGAGGTGATCGAGGCCATCCTGCGGGCCAACCTGGGGGCCGTGGACCAGACCATAGACGCCCTTCTGGCGATGTCGATTGACAACCAGGTGAGCGGAGGTGCCTGTGTATACTAACATCTAATGTACTAACCCACTAACGAACGCAGAACGAGAAACTGCGCAATGAACTGGATGCTAATGTCTCGCCCCAGCAGAGCCTCATCAACCTGAACGATTCGGACAAAGACCTGCAGCTGGTGGACACCACGGACGGCGGGGCAGCGGTTGCGGCTGCGGGGGCTGTGGGAGCACCGGGTGCTCTGCTGCCCACCGCTGGCGCCTCGCCGAACCACCAGAATACGGGCGCCTCGCCCAAGCAACGACCCCTGGGATCATTGGGCAGCAAGGGTAGCAGCAGCCAGAACAACACGCCCACCAAGCGCAGTCGCCGCTGGAATCCGCCCATCCTGGGGCCCTTGCCGGCGGGCTTCCTGCGGATTACACCCGCCCCCGGGCAGCAGGACTTCGAGCTGCCGGACGAACAGTTCGCCTTGATGCTGCAAAACGAGGAGTTCATGAACCAACTGCGCTGGAACCAGGACTTCATGAACGCCCTCGAAAAGGAACAGAGCGGCAAGACCAAGGGCGAGGACGATGCCCCCTTCCAGGAGCGGCTCAAGAACATGGGCAAGATGTCGCGCAAGAAGTTCCTGCAGATGGCCCGGGTGTTCACCTGGCAGCGCAACAAAAAAGTGACCACGGCCAAGCAGATAGACTCCTTGCCGCTCCGCGAGGAGCCCAGCGACGATGAGGATCACCACCACCAGCGGGAGCAGCATCAGACCAACCAGCAGCAGTCCAGCCAGCAACAGGGGCAATTGCAGCTGCGCAAGTGAATAAGCGGAAAATTCTGTTTTCTTATCTCAATGGCCATAACGTGACGATCACGTGCGCTAGTAATCTCCGCAAAACGAACCGAAACCAAGTAATCTGGCAAGAACGAATCTCCTCTCCCAATCTCAACACAAAGATGCGATGGTATTACCCTAGTTTTAACCTTAAGTGCAATTTTCTTCCCTACCGTGCAATATTCCCCTCTTTATTTGTTTGTTTGTATACGTTTTGTTTACCCCTTTCGTTGCCAAATTAGCGTAGTTAAGTTTTATCCATTATTTGTATCGAAACTGAAGGCGGCCTCTTTTGAGCCGCATTCGCTAGAGAACCACACTAATACACATGTTCGACTGATTATAGAAAGCGTTAATTAACCAAGCATCACATCAGGAATCGGAGACGAGTCCCCCCCAAGTAGAGCACTTTGCTTAGCCCAAACCCTAGTCATAAAGCGGAACTCGAGCCACTTATTGTACAGTAATCGAAACTATCACGTAATCCCTGTCGTAAATTACACTTTCTACATTTTAACTGCTGACCCGCGCATCGCCAACTTCTACGAAATGCATGATTATAATTGTATACCACGCGAATCTCTCGGAACTTGCATACCATATCAGCTGTGGATACAATGCAGTTTTACTACACCTACGCCCAAACTTAACTCCGAATCAAACGATCCTATCGCAGATCTTACAGTGGATTAATATGCGTGCTATAAACTAGCAAAATATTATAATTATAAAGTGCGGCTATTTGATTGTAATTGTATATGTATAAATATTTGAATAACAACCTTATATAACTATTCCAAGTATCAAATACAGATATTTCAAACCTTCAATAAAAAGGTGTTATCTATTGGCTTGAACTTTGGGTAAGCATTAAATCATAATTTCTATAACTTGAAACGTCTTTCACCAAAAAAGCGTACTCTCCTTAAATGAATTTATTTAATTTTTATTTTGTTTTTGTATTTCCTTTTTAATTTTTTATAAACATAATACATTTATTAATAATTAAAAGATGATCGATCCTGTTGGCCTACTGCACCGCGAATTGAGGACCATCAGGTTCTGAGATCAGAAACACAGAAAAAGTCCGAAGAACGCGGCCAGTAGGGTAACAAGTTCGAAAAAATGGTTTTTCAATTACATTTTTCACACGCTCATTATTACATTATGTTATTGTAACGGTTTTTTTGTTTATTATGTTCAAAAATGATTTGTATCTTTATCATATATTTAATATATACGTTTGGGCTTAGGTTTTTATTTAGTTTTAATGTTGGTTGGCTGTGTTTAGACTTTGATTTAAGGGCATATTGGTTACTACTCGTACGCGAATTTTATGCAATGTTTATTATGAAATATTTGTAAATTACTTCGTTTTTAGGTTTCTTTTCATTTTGGGATTGACACGACAGTTTATGTTAAACCATTTCTTAAGTATTAAATATACTAGAATTTGTGGCTGTCTCTGTACTTTTTGTTGTTTTTGGCAGGAAGCGGAAATTAGCCATGGCAATCCCTTACATTTCCGTTTCCGCCTCGATTTTTTTTCGCTCTCTGAGAGAGTGGGTGTGAATGTGTATGTGTGTGTGTGGGATGTGGCTGGCATGTGTGTGAATGGTTGTATTTTCAATTTCAGATGCAATTGATCGTGTTAAACAATTACTTGTAAATTTGTTTTAAACTAATTACTAAATGGGCTCATTACTTCTGGTTGTTTGCAACATTTTGACATCATTTGCATACAATATTTTTATAAAATATGTTTCTTATTCATGATTCATTTCCTTTCTCGATTTATTTGCTCATTTCTTTTGTGGAATTTGTTATCTTTTAGGCGTACAATTTAGTTTAGCTTAATTTGATTTTGGGTTTCGAATGCTTTTTCGGTTCTATTTAAAGATATACTTGTTGTTGCTGGTTTGGTTTTCTCGTGTATAAGTAGTTGGTAGTGTGTAGAGTACAATCGAAAAGAATCAATAAATACGAATGTTTTAGTTTACGAATGTTTCACTTGTTGCATAATTTAAAAAACGGCTCAAAAACGAACGACAAATATATTTAAATATGTAGATATATATATAATAATTCCCCATATGCATTAATGGTTAATCAGCGAAAAATAGTACAATCATAATAGTAGTAAATGGTAATAATTACAAAAACTTTAAACAGTTAAAAACATTTGTCAGTTTAAGTTTTGTTTTGTTATAGTAGATTGGTTATTTCAATTTTCGCGACAATTGCCTTCGGATCCAAAAACGAAACGAGAACGAAAAAAAATTGAAAATTGTTTACTTTACGCTTATACTTTTGCTCCTTATCTTCCCCTCAACATCCATTTCTCCTCCTTTCGGTTTTTGTTTTCCTTTCTTTTTTTTTTTTTTTTTACTTTTGGAAGTCTTATAGCAGAACACATAGGGACTTTTTCGGCTTCTTTTGTTTCTTCTCGGGCGACTTCTTGTTGATCTGCCGGACCAGGTCGTAGAAAATATCGTTCACATTCACTTTGGCTTTGGCTGAGGTCTCCATGAAGGCGCAGTTGAACTGGTTGGCCAGGGTCTTGCCCAGCTCCTTGCCGACGACGCGCTCCTCCTCGAGGTCGCACTTGTTGCCCACCAGGACCATGGGCACATCCTCCGTATCCTTGACCCGCAATATCTGCTCCCGCAGGTCCTGCAGATCGTTGAACGTCGATTGCGCCGTGATCGAGTAGACCAGCACGAATCCCTGACCGTTCTTCATGTACAGATCCCTCATGGCCGTGAACTGCTCCGTGCCCGCCGTGTCCAGGATCTCCAGCATGCACTGCTGTCCATCCACCTCCACCTGCTTCCGGTAGCTGTCCTCGATGGTCGGATCGTACTTCTCCACGAAGATGCACTGCACGAACTGGACCGTCAGCGCCGATTTTCCCACGCCGCCGCTTCCGAGAACTACGATTTTGTACTCACGCATCTTGGCTATATCTTTTATATATCTCTGTTTTTGTGCTAAATTCTATAGAAGAGACCCAAAATGCAGGTAGGCCAGGTAGGTGGGTTTTTACTCGATAATCACTAGTTTTTAGGCGTTGTTCGGCGATTGCTTTTCGGTTGCAGTTGTTACTTTTTTAGTTAAATGTTATATATTTAAAGTAAGTTTTGTTGTGTTGTTTTTGTTGCTTTTGCTGTTGATAACCTTTGTGCCGTGTATGCGAGTGTGTGTTTGTGTCGGTGTGTTGTGTGTGCTGGTGCTTGTGCCTCTCCCTCTCTCGCTCGCTCCTTCCGCCGAGTTGCGTGCGTTCAATTGTTGCTTTTTGAGCGTAAATCTCCTGGTAATTTTGAGTTTTTTTTGAGACCGCCGTCACTGCTACCGAGGGCACACTGTTTGGGAATAAGAAGAAAGACGTTTTTTTAGACACTATTAACTCTAAATTCGCTGCTAGTCTTTTTGGTTTGCGTTTTTTGGTATGCTGAGAACTGCACTCCCTCTTTTCTTCTTCTTCACAACTCTCTCGTTCTCGTTCTCTAGCTCTTATGATTCATTTTTAGGGTTGCCATCGACCGCGAGAAACCTAGCTCTCACTGCAACGCCTTAAACGTGCATTTATCTTCCATTTCACTTGATTTTCAATTAAAATGCACTTGTTGGTTGATTTTTCGTATAATGTGTGTGTATCATCTAACCAAAGGCAACACTAGACCACGCAAATGCACCCGCATGTCGGGCAGCAAGGCAACTCTGGGCGGAGCGCAACGGAGTTTTACCTGTGTTTTCCACTTGCTGCCGCAAAATGCGTTTTCTCGGACCGCTTCACCTGACGCCGCTCGCGAATCGCTGCACTTTTGATTGATAACGCCTTAATTCCGCAGAAATGAGACAACTTTTTTCGCCCACAGCGAACAGCGAACACTCACAGACAGTGTGACCGCGGCATGAAAATATACTAAAAACTAGATCTGGAACAATTCCGACGGTACTATCGATTACGTCGATAATTTATTATTAATTGAACCATCGATATTTTAACCATCGAGTGCATAGGGCGCCAGATAAGTAAGTAATTTATGAGGAATACTAATTAATGTTAGTTATTTTATTTATTATTATTTTTGTAAAAATTCGACAGTTGGACATATACTGCCCATAGCTTTACCAAATTTTAAAGTGGCATACCTCTAAAGAATTGTGGTTCGATTCTCTGAAAATCTGCATTCAAAATTTTCATTTTAACGTTGGTCAAAATTTTGACCCATTTTTATGTTAGTTATTTCTAAATTTTTGATGACTTAAAAAAAGAGGTCCAGTAATTGGACTTCCAGATTCCATAACTTTACCAAATTTAATCCGATTTCAAAGTGGCATACCTCTAAAGAATTGTGGCTCGATTCTCTGAAAATCTGCATTAAAAATTTTCATTTTAACGTTGATCAAAATTTTGACCCATTTTCATGTTAGTTATTTCTAAGTTTTTGATGACTTAAAAAAAGGGGTCCAATAATTGGACTTCCAGATTCCATAACTTTACCAAATTTAATCCGATTCCAAAGTGGCATACCTCTTACGACTCGTGTTTTGATTCTCTGAAAATCTGCATTCAAAATTTTCACTTTAACGTTGGTCAAAATTTTGACTCATTTTCATGTTAGTTATTTCTAAGTTTTCGATGACTTAAAAAAGAGGTCCAATAATTGGACTTCCAGATTCCATAACTTTACCAAATTTAATCCGATTTCAAAGTGGCATACCTCTAAAGAATTGTGGCTCGATTCTCTGAAAATCTGCATTCAAAATTTTCACTTTAACGTTGGTCAAAATTTTGACCCATTTTCATGTTAGTTATTTCTAAGTTTTCGATGACTTAAAAAAAGAGGTCCAATAATTGGACTTCCAGATTCCATAACTTTACCAAATTTAATCCGATTTCAAAGTGGCATACCTCTAAAGAATTGTGTCTCGATTCTCTGAAAATCTGCATTAAAAATTTTCATTTTAACGTTGATCAAAATTTTGACCCATTTTCATGTTAGTTATTTCTAAGTTTTCGATGAGTTAAAATAAAGAGGTCCAATAATTGGACTTCCAGATTCCATAACTTTACCAAATTTAATCCGATTTCAAAGTGGCATACCTCTAAAGAATTGTGGCTCGATTCTCTGAAAATCTGCATTCAAAATTTTCATTTTAACGTTGATCAAAATTTTGACCCATTTTCATGTTAGTTATTTCTAAGTTTCCGATGACTTAAAAAAGAGGTCCAATAATTGGACTTCCAGATTCCATAACTTTACCAAATTTAATCCGATTTCAAAGTGGCATACCTCTAAAGAATTGTGTCTCGATTCTCTGAAAATCTGCATTAAAAATTTTCATTTTAACGTTGATCAAAATTTTGACCCATTTTCATGTTAGTTATTTCTAAGTTTTCGATGAGTTAAAATAAAGAGGTCCAATAATTGGACTTCCAGATTCCATAACTTTACCAAATTTAATCCGATATCAAAGTGGCATACCTCTAAAGAATTGTGTCTCGATTCTCTGAAAATCTGCATTAAAAATTTTCATTTTAACGTTGATCAAAATTTTGACCCATTTTCATGTTAGTTATTTCTAAGTTTCCGATGACTTAAAAAAAGAGGTCCAATAATTGGACTTCCAGATTCCATAACTTTACCAAATTTAATCCGATTTCAAAGTGGCATACCTCTTAAGAATTGTGTCTCGATTCTCTGAAAATCTGCATTAAAAATTTTCATTTTAACGTTGATCAAAATTTTGAGCCATTTTCATGTTAGTTATTTCTAAGTTTTCGATGACTTAAAAAAAGTGGTCCAATAATTGGACTTCCAGATTCCATAACTTTACCAAATTCAATCGGATTTTAAAGTGGCATACCTCTAAAGAATTGTGGTTCGATTCTCTAAAAATCTGCATTAAAAATTTTCATTTTAACGTTGATCAAAATTTTGACCCATTTTCATGTTAGTTATTTCTAAGTTTTCGATGACTTAAAAAAAGAGGTCCAATAATTGGACTTCCAGATTCCATAACTTTACCAAATTTAATCCGATTTCAAAGTGGCATACCTCTAAAGAATTGTGTCTCGACTCTCTGAAAATCTGCATTAAAAATTTTCATTTTAACGTTGATCAAAATTTTTACCCATTTTCATGTTAGTTATTTCTAAGTTTTCGATGACTTAAAAAAAGAGGTCCAGTAATTGGACTTCCAGATTCCATAACTTTACCAAATTTAATCCGATTCCAAAGTGGCATACCTATTACGACTCGTGTTTTGATTCTCTGAAAATCTGCATTCAAAATTTTCATGTTAACGTTGGTCAAAATTTTGACCCATTTTCATGTTAGTTATTTCTAAGTTTTCGATGACTTAAAAAAAGAGGTCCAATAATTGGACTTCCAGATTCCATAACTTTACCAAATTTAATCCGATTTCAAAGTGGCATACCTCTAAAGAATTGTGTCTCGATTCTCTTAGAATCTGCATTAAAAATTTTTATTTTAACGTTGATCAAAATTTTGACCCATTTTCATGTTAGTTATTTTTAAGTTTTCGATGACTTAAAAAAAGGGGTCCAATAATTGGACTTCCAGATTCCATAACTTTACCAAATTTAATCCGATTTCAAAGTGGCATACCTCTAAAGAATTGTGGCTCGATTCTCTGAAAATCTGCATTCAAAATTTTCATTTTAACGTTGGTCAAAATTTTGACCCATTTTCATGTTAGTTATTTCTAAGTTTTCGATGACTTAAAAAAAGGGGTCCAATAATTGGACTTCCAGATTCCATAACTTTACTAAATTTAATCCGATTCCAAAGTGGCATACCTCTTACGACTCGTGTTTTGATTCTCTGAAAATCTGCATTCAAAATTTTCACTTTAATGTTGGTCAAAATTTTGACCCATTTTCATGTTAGTTATTTTAACGATTAAGTAAAAAGGTCACCTACAACTGGACTTCCAGAGTCCACAACATTACCAAACCCCAGAATAAATTACTTTAAGAAGACTACACTTTTTCGTGTCAATTCAACTCCTCCAAACTCTTTGTGATTTAATCAATTCATATAAACTATGTATATTTAGCAAAACAACAAAAGTAAATATCTAACTAAAATTTCGTACAAAATTCAGCATTGGTGTTCCCTCAGCGGATTTTGGTGACCATTCCGGCGGCAATGGTAACGCCTGCCACCCGCAGCATCACGCGTCCCAGCTCCTTGAAGTCTGCATACCGCTCGATGCAGATGGGCCTGCTGGTCTCCAGTTCCACCAAAGCACACGAGTTGTTGCCCAGGCATCGCGGCTTTTTCTTGACCACCTCGCCGGTGCTCTTGTGGATTAAGGCAGTCAGTTTGCAGACCACGGCAGGCTCTATCAGCGATTGGTGGTGCAGCAGCACTGGGAATCCCATGGTAATAGGCACCTTGACGTTGAACACGATGATGCGGGCTTGAAAACGAGTAGTAACCGGTATAGGGGTCTGGGGGTCGCTGATGATGCAGCCCACCGTCACGTTGTTGATGTCCAAGGCGGGCAGTGTCACGGATACCTGATCCCCGGCGAAAACACTCGTCTGTGGGAACTCGTTCATGGTCAAGGACTTGACCTGGGCCTGCTCTCTGCTGGCACCCACTAGAACCTTGTCGTTCAGGCACAGCACTCCGGTTTCCACTCGACCCGAGATGCAGAATCCCGAGCCAGTGCCCTTGTAAATATCCGACACGGACATGCGCAGCGGTCTGTCAATAGCTCTTTCCGGGATCTTGAAGTTCTCTATGACATCTAGTAGATGAGGACCACTGTACCAGCTGGTCAGGGCGGATTCCTGGGCATTCTTGGTGAGATTCTCGCCGGTCAGTCCCGAGCAGGGCGTGAAACTCACATCGGATTCTTTGAAGCCCGCCTGCTTGAGGAAGGACTTCAGCTTGGTAACAATCTCCGTGAAGCGCTCTTGCGACCACCCAACGGTGTCTAGTTTGTTGATAATCACGCCTAGTTGGTTAACTCCAAGGGATCGCACCAGGATGGCGTGCTCCCTCGTCTGTCCGCCCAGCTCAAAGCCGGATTCGAACTCTCCTCGCGTGGCATCCACCACCAGAAGAGCCACATCCGCCTGCGTGGCACCAGAGATCATGTTGGGAATAAAGTCCTTGTGCCCCGGAGCGTCCAGCAGTGTAACTATCTTTGTCTTTGTTTCAATGCGCGACTGGCCCACGTCCATGGTGATGCCGCGAGCCCGTTCCTCGCCCGTCTCGTCCAGCACCCAGGCGTACATAAAGCTCTGCTTACCCAGCTTCTTGGACTCCTGTTCGTGCTTGTGCATCACCCTTTGCGAGACGTTCCCGGTGTCGTAGAGCAGATGACCCATCAGCGTACTTTTCCCGGCGTCGACGTGGCCAATGACGATCATGTGGATGTGGCTTTTCTGGTCGGCCCGCTCCTTCTCGTACAGCTGGCGGGCATTACGAAGGGCCTGCTCCTTGGAGACCTTGAAGAGCGACGCTGAGCTCCGGGAGATATCATCGCCGCCGATGTCTACGGGCGTGTTTCTGCCCGAGACCACGGGCGATGAGGGTACCTTGGGCGAGGCTATCTCGAAGCCGCGGCGTGGCTCCTTAAGGTTAATCTTGGGCGGCGGAGTGGGAGCCGTTTTGCTGGAGGATTTGGGCAGCACTGGGGCAGCAGGCACCTTAATGCGACTCGCGGCGGGCTTCGCCGACTTGGTTTCCTCGTTCAGGATCTCGTCTAGGATCTTCTGCATGTCGTACTCGAACTTCATGGAGGTCTCCACAATGCGGCGCTCGGAGACGGCATCGCCCACTACACTGCGCACTTCATCTACGCAGGAACTAAGCTTGGCCTGCTCAATCTCGTCCAGCTGCGGCATCTGGAAACTCTCAGAGTCACGACGCGCCTTCTCGAAGGCTGCGTCCTCATCTTCATCGTCCTCCTCCTCCTGGATGTCCTTGTTCTTGCTGATGAACGCCGAGATGCTCTGCTGGCCACGGGCACGATCATATAGCCACTGCTGCGCATCCGTGGGCGAAATGCAGTGCTCGTCCTCCACCGAATGACCGTAGATGTCGTCGTACCCGTCGTACTCGTCGTTGTAGTCCATTGTGCGCACTATCCTGTGGCGCGACATCTTGGAGGACTCTGTATTTCACAATTTACGGAAAGAATTCAGAATTTCAACAAGATGTTAACAAAATAATAGAGGTGCGTGCAGGTGTGACTGTCTTTCAGGATTTTTGGTATTCGCTTGGTATTTTGCGGTATTAAGAGCATGGGCGTAGTTGGAAGGGGCTGAGTGGTTCTATTCCGGCGGGGATAAATCTTTAAATAGCATTCAAGCGAATATTTAATATATTTGACAATAAATACAAATGGAAAATTAAACAGAAATCAAAATTGGATGGTTGTGACACAAACAGTCGATAGTGAGCACAGTCGATAAGCCATTTGCACTATCGATAACAACGCGCTTGGAATTTTAGTTAAGCCACCACCCCCGCATAGCATTTTACCACTCCAGCGCGACGGTCACACTGTTCGAGTCTGTCTCTTTTGTGTCGCGTTTTAATGTGAAAAGAAAAACTCTTTTGCAACGGTTACAGACAGCAGAAAAGAGTGAAAAACATCGCGAATTCGGAGTGCGCGACCATGCCTTCGAGGCAGCATTAATACGGAGCCGCATTTCCCTCGATTTCCGCCGAATTTAGGAGTGCAAATGCGAGGCCAGCCGACGTTGGCAAACCGAATCTCGTCTATATAGTCGTTTATTATTAAACAACAGAACACAGAAAAGCAGAAGTTGGGGAACGGGAACCCGAAACCCAGAAAACATGTACAACAACGGGGCCAGGGGCTTCTCCATACACGACGCCTTCGAGGAGGAGACGGACGAGGCGATACGCGTCTATGGATCCACGGTGATATCCACGCCCATGCGGGGTGGCAAGCAAGGTCGCTCCACCGAAGACGTCTCTATCCGGATTCAGGATCCCAAGTGAGTGGGGTAGATCTCTGCGAAAACAGGTCTCTGATCTGTGTGCGTGGGCACCGATTATTGGCACCATTTTCTTCGCTTTGTGCCAAACAAGGAGACTCATTCCCATTGTGACTGTGATTCCGGTTATTGCCGTGTTTATATTATACTATATGTGCTGGCCAGCTGTGCGTCTGGTGTTCTGTGAGGTGTCCACTTCCCTATTCCCGCCGGAAGCACCTGAATAAGTTAGCCAAGCGGCGCGTGCGTGATGTCTTCGTATGCCTCCTATTCCCATTCCCGTTCCCATTCCATTAGCCATGCATGGCGTGTCGCAACTACAGCAACGACTTGTAATTATGGGGATTATAAATGCAGACGTCCAGCCTAATTTGGCATTCAATTGTAAAAATCATTGCGCATAAATTTCGTCATAAGGGTATCTCTGGCTCTCTGCCGTTTCTTGAGGGGATCAAATGGGGGCGAAAGAGGAGGTGGCGGCCTTCGCCTGCGGTCAGCTGGAACCAGTTAGCAGGCCCAGCAAGCCAAAACCAGCCACCAGCTCATCGCCGTTTGCACTTGTCGGGCTTCTCTTGCCAATATAATCGAGTGGTAAACGCGAAATTGATTGCGTTTTGCTTTTGGCGGCAATCCAACCCCGCGATAACCCTCAAACGGTTGATAAGGGTCCTAAAGTCCATATTTAACAAAGTGGAAAAGCTGACTTGGGAAATGAAAGATTTGCATACCGCACAAGTCAATTATTTGTCTATCATTTTAAAGACTACTTCTGATACTTAGACTTAATCTTGTCTAGCTATGATCAAATCCAGAAAAATCATCATTAAACCGTGATAAACTACTAAACCGGTTATTAAAGAAGGTTACTCACCAGAAAATCAAAATATAATCTTCTAAGCTGTCAAAAACATAGTAAAAAGTCTGTTTACCATAAAAAATGTATATTGGCATATCATCATATCTCTGCTGCCTTTTTTATATATCGTTTTATCAGGATATACTGTGTATATTTCTTTGTACAATTGACTGTATAACTAAAAAAAATTGTTTTTAAATTTATTAGTTAGTCATACAAATATGGATATATGTAAACTCAGTCGGAATACGCGACTAACTTGCCATCAATTTCCTTTTTAAGTTACAATATACATTTTTGAGAACAAAGAAATTTGTTATTTCTTTAAATTTGTATGAGGTTAATTGATAAAATCTAATTAACTAATTGATTTAATTGACCGAAAGCTAATATGCATTGCTATCTGGGAACGAAAAGAGATGTAAACCAAGTAAATTGGAAATATGTAAACCATGCAGTTTCTGCAGAAACCCTTTTCTCGAGTTAAGGCAGTGGAACTTAAGTGGGTCAAAAACGACGTTCAAAACCGGCTTTAATTATACTGTCCCAAGGCTATTAAACGCTCTTCCTTTCAACTGCTTCCCCATCTTTTGTCTCCGCAGGGGCTACAACAAGTATGCCGAGGACACAACCTCCCGGGACAGTGACTCGCTCATCCAGGAGTACGGCAACCTGCCCACGGAGGAGACCAACACATACTGCTGGCGGCACCCAAAAGTGCGCGAAAACTGGCGCACAGTGCTGGCCGCCTTTACGCTCCTGGTCGTGGGCACAGGCCTCTTCGTGATGGGCACCTTCGCCATCGCCGATCCGCAGAACACGTCGCAGGGAGTCGTGTTCTTTGTGGCCGGACTTATCTGCTTCATACCCGGGGCCTACCACGTCGTGTACATCTGGCTGGCAGCCAAGGGATATCGAGGGTTTGACTTCTATCACCTGCCGCTGTTCACATAAGCGGACATCTGGCTAGTTCAACTGGTTGATCCAAGGATCCAGATCAAGCAAGATAGCGAGGGAGGGGAGTGGGAGATCCCCGTCTATATATATAAATCCATGTGTTTGTTTATATTTGTATAAACAATTTATTTTCTATATCGTAATTGTATTTAACCCGAAACTCGGTTTGTGTAACGTACTTTTTGTGTTTAGCGGCAAAAATTTCGTTTAGACAAAAACCCCCCTTAAAACCCGAATCGAAATCTAGCAATATATAGATTATATATTTTACAATATTTTCTATTATGTACTCGGTGAAGTGTTTTGTATACCCCCAAACCCAACCCAAAAAGTATAAAACATTCATACGTACACTCGAAATTTATTTAAACAAAAGAAAAACAAACGAAAGACTTTGTATATGATGCTAACATGTTGAGGAAGCGCTAGAGTTATAACGTATACTATATATAAATTGTAATTGTAACTTATTGAAATTTAATTGCACCAAAAACGCTGGCAAGCGTACGAAAATGTTTTACGATTTTCAAAACCAACACTCAAGAAACAAAAAAAGATTAAAAACCGTACACCCACGAAACTATGTATATGATTAGTGAGCGTCTGTCCAGGGATGCGCCTTAAAGAACTAGATCTAGACTTTAGTCAACGTCGAATTATGATACGATCTAACCTAATCGATTGCAACGAGGGATTTCTCGAGCAAACCATGATAATACCAAGCTACTAGTGATGTAAGACGATGCGCAGATATTGCAATACGTTATTTTATAGCTATTAAAGTGATGACGCGTCTCTTTTCCGCTGACCTAACCCCCGTCCTCTAATGAAATTACATCTCACAGTCATTCACATTTCTAAAAACTGATCATACACCTCATCTGCCGTTTAGTTCTTAATGTCGTATAATTTCTTTTTTAAGAAATGCTGAATATGGTTGTATTAAAAGAGAATAATTATTACACGCAGAAAACCCAAAAAAATAAAGAAAAAAACAATAAATTTACTTAAAACACATAAATACGATTTATGGCTAATACAGGACTCCTATTTTCCAAAATTTACACGAAACCTAATTTTTAGCTGTAACTTTGTGACTTTTGTATGTATTTTCCCATTGAATGTTGGTTTTTATTCGAATTAAAAATATTATTTTTGAACACTTCGTTTTGTTTTTATTTTCATCGACGGGGAGTTTTAATTTAAATCCCACTACCTTTGGCCATATCTCACACTGATATGATTAAATAACTATATTTTTATCAAATGTTTACGTTTTTTGGACGTGATTAATCGTTTCTTCTTTTTATTTTATTGCTTTTTTAGCACTCTCTTCTGGGAATTGATTTCATTTCTTTACGCAGCTAAGAAGGGGCGATAAATTTTATCTTTCTGTTGCGGCATGCCCATTGAACTGTATCAAAATCCATCATTATCAAGTTCACCCTCAGTAACTCGACAGTGCGTTTCGGAACTGTAAGATAAAGGATATGGGTATGGTTATTCTAGGCGGAAATTAAATATAGTTCAAGACCTTTTGGTAGATTATTATGTACTAAAAATAATTGTTATTAATCTTTTATAACTTTTTGATGTCCTATTTAAATGCCATTCATAAATCTATTTGTTTGTGAGCAACTTGCGATAAGACTTTAAGTGTTTCCGTTTTCTAGCTGACCTTACTCTATAGCTTTTTTGATAACCCCGCAATAAGAGGGGCACTTGGCCTTTGTCCTACTGTCCCGAAACGCACTGTAGGCCAGCTCTAGCTCTTAACTAGTCCCAAAACTCCTCTTGGTTTAATGGACTCGGTAGCCCTCGGCTAATGGCGATGCAAATGAGATGAAGTGAAATGTTAGAAACAATCAAATCGGCAATGGAATAGGATAGATACTTGCTCAATATACGAAGTTAACGACGGCTCTAATAGGTTTAATTATATTGGTGTTGTGCGCCTCTCCGAATCGATTATTTTTGTAGCTTTGAATTTATTTGAATTGTATTTGAATAATTGTTACTTTGACTCCATTCGATTCGATTTGATCCGAACCGATTTGTTTCGCCTCGGTTTTACCGTTGATGATTAAGCTTTAAATGTGCTTAGCGAAGTAAGTGTGGAAATGGAATAAAGTGCATGGAAATTAAACGCCAAACATTGTTTATTGACACGCCCCCTTGAAGGCCCCACCCCTGCCAGTGGTGGTTAGTTTTTTGGGGGTTTGTACCTGTACACATTCCTTATCTGTATTGATTCTTTATCTTTTTTCGGGTACCTTAAATTCCTCACACCTTTTACCTTATTTAGTTATAATATTTATGTAAATTCGCAAGCTTTTTTTTCTTTTATCAGGGTTAAGCTCAAACTCTAAAACGCTTTTAGGAAAACACCTTTTTAAACTGCAATCAGATATAGAAATGGTTTCAATGATTTATTCTTGAGATCTGAACATTTGGGGGACTTCGTTTAATAAATTTTTTTGTAGCTAAGTGACCTTTTATAGTGGTTTTATTTATTATAAAAATTAATATTTAAATTATTTCAACAACTTAGGTAGTTTTTAGCTAGAAGGGTTTCTTCTCGGTGACCCAAAATTGTACCTGAACCACGAGACTGCTTTCCCGGAGAGACAATTTGTCACCGGGCATCGATCAAACACAGGACATCCGAGTGGCCTGGCAACGGGCGCCATTGAAACGGGATGGCAGGGGCCATAACCGCAAGGGAGCGGAGTGGAGCCGCTAATGTCTGGAGTGCACATCCAAGTTCATTAGTCTTGGATGGGTGCGGAAAAGCTGCTCGACACGAAATGGAAAGTTTTGGCAAAGTTTCCCGCTGGTGAATCGTCGTAAATCGCAGTGCGAAAAGCTGAGGGTCTAAAAATATCCCGACACTCGAGGGCAATCGATGTGCCCGCAGCTGGCAGAGATGGGCGAACGTGAGCCGGAGTCGGACGAGGACTGCGAGGTCTATTGTAAGTCGTTCCCTGAATGTCGGCAGCAGCATGTCCCTACTTATGGATTATTCCGCAGTCCTGAAGCCGGTCAACGAGTACAACATTGTGGACAGGATCAAGGAGGCCAATAAGGAGCTCTTCGCGCCGGATGATGAGGGTTTCAATGGCAACGGCAAGGTGACCAAGGTGAAGTTCGCCCTGAACCTGGAAGATTACGAGCCCTCGGATCAGCAGAAAGATCTGAGTCCCAGTCCGCCGGATGAGCTGCTGCAGCAGTTGACGCAACTGAAGCTGAAGCCCATCGCAGAGGAGGAGTCAGCAGCTCCAGAGATGTCCAAGGTGATGGAGGAATCGCCTCCGGCGGAGGAACCAGAAGTAGAGGAGGTGGAGGAGGAGATCTGCGAAGAAATCCTGGACTTAAGTGAGGTCCCCCAACAGCCTCCTGTCCCAGAAACTATACCCATTGAAGATGACGACGACGACTTTTCCGGCGTGGATGAGGCAGATCTGGATGACGACTCTCCAGCGAAGGATTCATCCATTCCCGTCTCCCTCCAACTGCGGCAGAGCACCTTCGACCAGGATGACTCCGATCAGAAGAGTCTCACTAACCTGCTCACCGAATCCGATTGCGAGGAGGAGGAGCGCACCTTGAATGAGGCTCGCCAGAAGTTAAGGGATGCCTACAAGAATCTTTATAAGACTTTAGATTCCAAGCAGCAGGCCACCATCGACAGGTTGACGGGAGCCGAAAGTGAAGTTCCTTTACCGCCGCCAGTGGCTGCTCCTCCAGCTGAGGTGGATGAAGAGGACGATTTGTCCATCATTGTGGCTAGCTACATTCCAGATGACTTTGAGCTCAACGAGCAGAGCATTTACTACAAAAAGGAGGAACCAGAGGAAGCCAAGGAGCCCTGCTCCACCTGTCCCAAGTCCACTTCCAAGACCTTCTTTACTTCACGCAGTTTCAGTTTTCGGCGGCGGGCCAAACCCACGCCCACTCCATCGTCCGCCACCGCTTCCACGACTTCTCCCTCCATCCGAATGAACTACAAGATCTGTTGCGAGCACCGTCACTCGATTCAGGGCAAGTTACCCAGGTATATGGGCTACATGTCCGAGTACGGACTGACAGCCCAGCAGCTGGAACGCCGGGATCAGCAACTGCGGCGGAAGCAGCGCTTCTCCATGGAGCAAACCTTGCAGAGCAACGAGCAGGAGCTGAAGAAGATGCAGGACAACGAGCGGGCCTTCACCACCTGGCTGAAGAACAAGATGCGCTATCCGATCAATAAGACACGCAACATGTTCGATGCCCACAAAAGGCGGGGCAGTGTGGCCGCCGCCGGAAGTCCGCGCCAGCATCCTCAGGCTCATCCACATCTTCACCAGGAGCAGGAGCAGCGCGGCGGGAGGAGAAGGCGTCGTCGCGACAGCGGGGAGGAGGAGGTGCATGCCTACCGACACCTTCTCGGCAGCTGGAACAAGTAGTAGTAATGTAGTTCTTACATTAGTTTATTACATAAATGTATTGTATTATATTTAATTTGTAATACAACTTTTGAAGCGTGAAAAATGAGTGGGTAAGGATCGGAGTGGAGGGGTTTTTAACAGATAGACAATGGATAACAGGAGTGTTTGAATATATTACGATCGGAGTGTCTCAAAGATTTCGAGGCAACCCCACTAATGACGCGACTTCTTCGATTTGTGGCCATTGTCGCGACTGTCTTCCCGTGAGCGCTTGCGATCCTTATCCTTGCTGCTGCTCTTGTGTCCGGACGACGAGGAGGAATGATGCTTGTCTCGGCTGTGGTACTTATCCTTGGACGATTTCGATGGGCTTTAAAATAAGAGCACGTTTTTGGCGTGTTAATAACAGATTTTCGTAGTCTATGTGGTAACAAAATTTTGAGCAAGCAAAAGTGTGATGTTGTTTCATTTTCAATAAATTTAGATATAGTTTATAAAATATTCCCTGAATTTAAATTTAAACCTGACATAAAAGATATCAACAATAATGTGGAACCAAAACCGAATGGTAGTTTTCAGGATGAAGAAACAATTTAGAAAATAAAGATAAATAAAGGATAGAAATTTCCTGTTTCCGGGGAATTCGACCTAAAACCTTAATAATCACTTGGACCACCAATCCAAAAGTAATGAATACAAATAAAAGTCCAGGAAAATCTGCCTTTGTAAAACCAAAACAAAGTATAAGCATTTGGAAATTGAATTTTCTTAGTGTGAGATTTGTTTTGTGTGTGAAATGATGTGTGGAATGCACTTGCGTTAGGCCATGTGTTTGGGTATTAATTGTTGGGGGTTTTCGATAACAAACCTAGATGAGCTGCCATGTTTGGAGCTGGAGGATTTTAAATGCGAAGAGGAAGAGGAGGAGTTCGACTTATGCTTTTTACTGTGCGACGAAGATCTAGCCTCCTCGCGGTCGCGGCGACTGTGTTGAGTGTAAAATGGGGTAAGAACGATTGATATAGATAATACAGAGGAGATCTCGGATAAAGTTATATTCCTATGGATACTCATTGGAACGCTCTTATACCTGTGTTTTGAACTTTTGCCATGTTTCTTGGACTCGAATTTGCCATTGCGTGGTTTGTCGTCGGTGGCGTAATCATGGTTGCGATCCTCTTCGGCGGCCTCGCGCTCCAGATCTGACCAATCCTTGCCAGATTCCTCATCAGAGCCAAGATCCTCTGCAATTGATAAAACAAAAGAGTGAAAAACAAAACAAATTGGCACGTTTGCGTAACTTAATACCATCGCTTTCTTCGCTGTCTTCTGAGGCTTCTGAATACTCAGAATCTTCGTCCGACTCTTCATCCGTTTCGGCATCTGTGGGATTGTAGGCTTCGTCCTCTTCGGACTCGGCAGTTTCGTTCTCGCCTTCACTACCAGATTCGGGGTCCAAGAAAGTCCAACCGCCTTGGTCGAAGAATCCCTCGGGATCATCTGTAATAGTCTTCATAATCTTTTGCCAGTTGAGGGATTGAACTCCCTCCGAGTAACGAATATCGCAGGAGCTAAGGGATAAAGATTAATTGATATAAATAAATTAGATGGGTAATTAAATAAAAATAACCCACTTGAGCCATTCCTTAACGTGATCCAGCATATTCATGGGAATGGCGTTAACCATAGCCACCTTCTTGTTGTACTCCTTGAACACAAATATCATGTCGAAGTTTCGCAGATGGAACTGAACGCGTTCGAAGTGCACCAGCTCCACGTCGTCCAGCGTGATGACAAATGGCGGCCATTCGGTAAGATTGACCAGGGAGCCCGAGGTGGGCTGCAAGGTCACCGTGCTGCGGAAGGGTGCGCCGGGGAATCCCAATTCACGGAACGGCGTGTCAAACTCCACTATCGACTTGGTCATCGTCTCTACCTTTTCGCAGAAGCTTTTAAAAGCTGTCTTGAGCTTGTGGCGCAACTCTCTTTCCGCCTGCTCAGCTGCCAAATCATCGCGATCGTGCATGTGCTGATGCTTGCCTAGATCCGTGGTGATCTCTCCCACTTCCGTGTAGAACTGCACGTCCACGTGCTTCTTCTTGCCAAACATTATGGCATACTTCAAGTGGAAATGTAGAAGGATGATCATCTCGCCGTCACAGGGCTGGAAAAACGCGCTCTTGATGTTGTTGTACAGGATGTCCACCTTGTCGCCGCGCACTGAGATGTATCGGAATCCATTGGTGTGCGCCTCCAGGCTGCCCGTCATGCGCTTGGTCACGATGTTGGGCCGAATGTACAGATCCTTAAGCTTGGGATTGCCTTTGTTTTGGGACAGAATGAGCGTGTCCTGCTTCACAAGATCCTCCTTCTCGCGTTCTTCTGCCTCGCGTGTTTTAAAGCGCTTTTGCACCTCCTTGATCAGCCGGAAAGCGTTATTCAAGTTCGCAGATGGGGCGCCCACCTCGCCGTGCTCTTTTACATTGGAACTGCGGTAGGTGCTGCAGGGGCAAAATTAATATTTAATAGTTTATCGACACTTCATTTGTATATTTTAGAGCTTACACTTCTTTGACGAACGTTGCCTCTGGCTGAGGATAGAGTCCACCCTCGTTGCGACCCATCGTGGCGCCAGGATGAAAGAAGTTGATACGCAAGTATGTGTACTCGCCCTCCACCGACTGCGAGATGTTCTTTATAGTCGAGATGTGGAACGGCACCTGGATGCCGAAAACGGGCATAATGACAGTCTCATACTTCTTGTCCACGTACAGCTTGAGCTCCTTGACCTCCGGCTCACGGGGCATCTGGCTGATGGACTTGTAGGAGACGGTGTTCTTGCGCACCTTCTCGACCTCTTTGGAGTTGCCCTGCTTGGCTAACCGATCCTTGGCTCTCTCGTTTAGTTGCTGGGCCAGCTCTCTCTGGTGCTCCTTGCGCTTCTCCTCGGTGTTGATCTCGTTTCGCAGCTTCGACTCCAGCACGGCATTCCGCTTGCTTCGGCCCAGGATCTCGGTTCCCTGATCCTCCTTGGTGGTCTTCTTGTCGTCCACATCCTCCTCGTCGCTGTCGTCCTTGATGAAGATGCCCACGTTCTTGATCTTCTTCTTGGACGGGGTCATCACACTGGCCGGGGATTGTTCGCCAACCAGGACTGTGTCGCCAATAAAGAGGGCGTAGTTCTTACCCTCCTTGTCGGCGGCATCGGGATTGGTTAGATTCGAGATGCCAACGTGCAGATTGAATACCATATTCTTCTTCAGCAGCGCCTGGCACTTAGGCCCGATGACAATCGAGTTCTCCCGGAACTCTAGGCCCATAGCGAAGCCAAAGCTCTTTGGCAGATTGTCTACCATACTGGGCTTCTCCTTCTTGACGTATTCCAGAGTCTTTTCGTAGACGTCGCACAGCTTGGTGCTTGGCACCAGCAGCTTGAGAATCTCCTCCTGCACACTTACCAGAAATGTGTAGTTTTCCTGCATGGCCTCGGTGGGATTGACCAGGAAGGTACGCGAAATATTTGAGCAATAGGACTTGTAGCGGGCGCCCAACGAACAAACAATCACACCGAAATGCAGGGGATTCTTGTCCGCCACGGCGGAGAACTTCAAGCTGTAAGCTCCGCCCGATTGAATGATGGGTGGATAGGCCATGTCTAGCAGTCTGGGATCCAAGCCGCTAGTGTACTTCTTGTCGCCAATGGCTGTCTCGCAGCCATCTGAGAGTTTGTTGTGCTTGACTTTCTGAGAGTTGAGATGGTTAATCAATACAAGAAAATCTTTCTATATATTGCCCCAACTCACCCTATCCGAATCAATAATGTCCATAATCTCATCTTTCAAATACTTGTTGAAAATGTCCATGGACACTAGTGATGCCTTGCGTATGTTGTTGATCTCCGACTCATCTTTGGGACACATCAGGTAAGCTATTATAGTGCTGATGTCCACATGGTCGAACTTGGAGGCCGTCAGGGACTTTTTCCAGGCCTCGCTGAACTCCCCGGGAAAGGCATCCTTGGTAAATACGCCCAGGCGCTTGCCTTTCTTGGAGTTTTGCAGGGCTTTAATGAGTTTTTCGAAGTTGCCCTGGTCTTTGTCCGTCTTTTTGTTAGAGAAAATGAGGAATTAGAAGGGATTTAAAATGTAGAATGTCGCCCAACTCACCCGATCCCTCACTAGGAGGTTAATCTTAGGGACACCCTCTTCGGTGATGTTCTGCGTCTGTTTCAGAAACTCGATCTTCTTTTTGCTGGTGAGAAAGTATATGGCATCCGAGGCGAAGACAGAGATGGTGTCCGTCAGTTCGTAGCCCAAAAGCCAGAGCTGCAGGGCCATGGACTTGGAGTACATCACATCCTCCTCGACGCCCACCACGCTCATGATGCAGTCGAGATTGCTGAGGGCGTCATCGTGTCCGATGCTGGGAGCCTTTGGAAGGCAATGAAACAAAGATTATTATCTTTCCCGCCTATCTAAATATAACATGGGTAATTGGACTAAAATAACCCAATTTCACCATATTTCTCAATGCTCATTATCGCTGTTTTTGCGTAGTGACTCCACATGCTTTGGGGGGCTCCTGCAGACAGCCAAACTTGGAGACTGGCGACCGGCGGACGAACTCACCTTCCATTCCGTGTACAGGCGCTTTATGCGGCGCACAAACGCCTCCTTGTCCAGCACAAAGCTCGACATCTTGCCGCCGGGGGTATAATAGTTATTGAAATTGTAATAATTATTAAACTAAGCTTAAGATCCGTATTTGCATTTGCGAATTCCGCCGGACGAAAAAATTGCGCGGCGCGACGAGAAAAAGAAGAAGAATCAGCGTCAGCGTGAGGTGGGCTATCTATATATCGATAGGTAATCGATTTACAGAATAATCATAGCAATCTTTACCAACACTAGATTTAGTTTAAAAAGGTGGAAAAATAACGGTTCCCTTAAGAGATTAAAGATTTATGCATATATTTATACTTAATAAATATATAAATATATACAAATTTTATTTTAAAATAAATATTTGTCTTTTGAGCAAGCGGCTCAACTATTATTTATCCTTGCGCATGAATTTATTTTTATAAAAATATGTTATCAATTAAAAATAAAACACGTAAAGGTATTTTAAAAGCATTTATTTCGGATATGCACATTAATTGCTTAAAAATATCTCATTTAAAAAAACTGAGTTTGTTTTTAAAATTATTTAAACCATTTTTGTTCAATTTATTTCTTAAAGCTTATCCAAAGATTCAAAAGAAAGACAGAGGCAACGCTTCGCTTTTAAATATAGTTAAGTTTATTATTGTTTTCCTTCAGTATTATCAACATTTGCAATTACGTACTGTGACGGCTAATATGTGAGTTCGTTGAACTTGATTCATTGGTTTCTAGCAAAGTCTAAGATTTCAGAGCTGGGTTAATTCTTTGTGCCCGCGGGACTTCCCGCCTCATCCGGCCGGGCCACCTGCAGATACTCCTGGATGTCGTAGTCAAACAGCTCAAAGTCGTATCTATTGGAATGTAACATTTTAATATTTGATTATATATGTTTTTAAAGGCTGACCCACTTGTAATACTCGTAGAGCTCTAGCATTTCCTGGCGCGTCAGTTGCGCGTAGAATTGCTGCTGGAGTTCGTGCGTCTTGCGGCCCTTGCCCATATTTCGCCACACGGGCGCTATCACCCGCTTCAGGCCAGTCTTTTCGATTAGATATAATTGATCCTCCGCCAGCGACTCGAACTTCAGTATCATGTCGAACCGGATGAGGCAGGGTGTGCAGAAGGAGGTGGCTGCCACGAAGTGCATGTCGATGAAGCTGCCGCGCTTCACCTGGTCGAGCAGCCAGTGCACAAACTCCGGGAACGACGGGAACTTTGTGTTGGCCGCACGAGCAGCCAGCGAGGGCTATTGAAAAAATTATAGAACAAAAATGATGATGCCACTGCCAACCCAACGATTGGAAAATTAAGTAAACTATTTTTTCGTATTTAAATCAAAAACAATTCATTTCGAATATAATTTATTCAAAAGAACCAATCTTACTGAATCCACGGCGTATACTTGTTACTACCAGGAGGGTGTTCTATAGTAACGATAACAAGTATACGCCATGTATAGCAATCCAATAACTTACCTTCTTGCGGTAATGAATTAATTTCGAATCAAATTAATTCAAAAGACACAAATCTTATTAAATCAACAATAACAAGTAATTATTGTGTTAACCACGGCGTATACTTGTTTATACCAGGAGGCCGTTTCATAGAACCGATATCAAGTATACGCCATGGATAGCAATCTAATAACTTACCTTCTTGCGATAATTGCGCACAATGCTGCGTCCCAACTTATCGTGGAAGGAGTAGGGTAGAGCGAATACCATCTTGTCCCGATAGGCACTCAATAGTCGCTCAAAGGGATCGCGTGCGATGATAAAGGTCAGCGAGTAGTTCTGCGCCTCACGCAGCTGTCGCCCGAAATAAAACAAATTAAATTGTAATTATAGTAGGTAATAGGCCAATGTTAGCAATCCTTTGACACCCACCTCATCGAGGGTCACCCGTGGATAGCGCTCCCTGGCCAAATTGAGGAGAATCTTTTTGGTTTTGCGCAAATAACTGGGTGAATAGCCGGCCAGGACATTGAAATTGAACATCCAGGACGAGGAGGCTGCCTTAAAGACATTGCACCTGCAAGAAATAACGATAAGTATAAACATAATTATTTTCATAAAATTAATACATTTTTAATAATTACTTAAACAAAACTACGTGAAAGTAATGATTTTTTGTTTCACAACATGAAATAGCAATAATTTTAATTGCTAATAGATTTCCAAAACCATTCCGCTTATATAAAAATAAAAAATTATATTTTCTAAGCTTAACAAATCCGTAAAATAACAAAATGCAAGAGGTAAGTAAAAACCACACCCACCAGATAATGTGATATTTCTTGTTGACCAAAAATTCCCACGTGTTTGGGGTGTGCCACGAGTCGTGACCTGTAAGTAAGATGTTGGAGATAGAGAGTCAAGGAACCAAACCCCAATCCAAACCCACCTAGGACATCGAGGCCGTAGGAGGAGCACTTGTCCTTCAGCCGCTCCCTGCGTTGGTCCATCCGCTGCTCCACCTGGAGCATTTCCTGCGGCGTGAGCGTCTGCACGGCATACTCGGGGATGAGGGGCAGGAGTGTCTGGTTGCTGTCCTGCCGGAGGACAAACATACGGAAAGTTGAGCCACATGGAAGGCCAGTAAGCAAGCGAGAATGGGAGAGAATGGGAGTGGGGTGCCCAAATGCCTGCCAATGCGACTCGGTAATGCGCAATCAATTTGGCTATCTGAATTTTATTTAGCCGTCTGTTTACATCATTAATTATACGAGCCTGTGAGTTGAAGTGTTTGTAGTGTGTGTGGTGGTGTGTGCGGTGTGTATGGTGTTTGTGCGGGTTACATATTTACTTTATCAACATAGCGCCACTTGTTCTTGGTCTTGCCCGTTGCCACGACGGTCAGGTCCTTGTTCTTGTTCTTGTTCAGCAGCAGCACCGGATACCGGACCACCGGATACGGAAACTGGCCATGTTGCTGCTGCGGCTGCTGCTGCTGCTGCTCCTGCTGCTGATGCTGTTGCGGCTGCTGCGGCGCCTGCTGCTGCACATTAAAGGCCTAGAAAATCAGTTGCAGTTGCTTTGTGGATAAGGATTTGGACTGGGTATTCGCTATTTGGGTTAAGAGGCGTGGGATGACGTGGCGTATGCGCAATGTACAAGCGGTCTGTCAAGGTCCAAGGTCGCCACCCCCAATCCACCCACCCACACACACACATTGCTCCGGCTAAATCTCAATCCCAATTAAAAGCCCCAGACGCCAGTGTCAACTGTCAAGATGCAAAATGGCCACATGAATCAAGTGGTTGCGGAGACTCTGCGGATAAGTTGTCGTCATCGTGGCAAGCACTTTGCATTTGACTCGCGTACATCCCACTTGCAATACTACCCTATATGGCACACCATATGGTTATGGTTATATATACCCTTCGAGGGGCGGGGCCTTCCACTAAGGGAGTGCGGCGGAAGTAATTCACTGGTACATGAATGCTTGGTTCAGATAAGATTGATTAATGGTCGTGGCCGAGCACTAGGACTGAATAAAGAATGTGATACTTGCGTAAATGCTTGGGCACACTTGATGACTTGTCTAAACATTTTGATGCTTTTAGCTTAATTGTCTTGTCCACTAATATTTAATTTGACTTTGAAGTTTAAGCGTAGGTATATTTAGAAAAATTAAATAATTTGTATAACAGATGAAAATCAATTACATTTTTGTTTAAGTGCTGGTGAAAAACGACTTAGCTAATTGGATTTTTCTTTTAATGAGGTACAAAACTACATTTAATGTCAACTCTAGTTTGTAATTCATTTTATCCCTCTCTTTCTCTGTGTTTTACATTTTATTAAATTAAAGTACTCAATACCGTTTAAATTTTGAGTTTATTAAATTTATAATTATTTTACCTAGTTTAAGGGTCACAATTTCTTTAATATTTTTCACGAAATCCGTGAAATATCAATATGTGTCAAATTCATAGCAAGGGTATAGAACCCTCACCTATTAAAGTCATTATGTTTTTACGAGTCATTTCCATTTAAAGTGGCGCTATGAGCATGACGTGAACTGTGCGGAATGGCTTGGGGTTGCATGGATGGGAGGATTTCGGGTTCCATTAGGGTGGACCAATGCACAGGGGGCATCTGAGCACTAGTGTGAGAGTGCGTGGGCATTTGTGATTCGCAGTGCTTAATTATGCGTGTGTGCTGCCCGAAACAAACGAAAAAATACAACAGTTAAAGAGAACACAACGCGGTGTATGCGTGTCTTAATGTGCTTTTTTTATACCCTTGCAGAGGGTATTATAATTTTGGTCAAAAGTGTGCAACGCAGTGAAGGAGACATCTCCGACCATATAAAGTATATATATTCTTGATCAGGATCACCTCCTGAGTTGATATAGCCATGTCCGTCTGTCCGTCTGTCCGTCTGTCTGTCCGTCTGTCCGTCTGTCCGTCTGTCTGTTTCTACGCAAACTAGTCTCTCAGTTTTAAAGCTATCGAATTGAAACTTTGCACACACCCTTCTTTCCTTTGCACGCAGTATATAAGTCGGAACGGCCGGGATCGGCCGACTATATCCTATAGCTGCCATATAACTGAACGATCGGAAATGCCATAACTTTGGTGTTTTTAAAGTTAGGAAGTTGGGATTTTCTATGGGTTTTATTTTTGGCCAATCAATCCGACCTACCAAACTTCATAAGGATCGACCGACTATATCCTATAGCTGCCATATAACTGATTGATCGGAAATGCCATAACTTTGGTGTTTTTAAAGTTACGAAGTTGGGATTTTTTATGAGTATTAAGAATGCATCATATGAATAATTTTGCAAAATATAATTTACAGAGTATTCTGCAAGGGTATATCAACTTCGGCTCCCCCGAAGTTAGCTTTCCTTTCTTGTTTGGGTGTAAGCTTGTGTCATTTGGGTAATGTAATGCAAATTAGCAGTGGGTAAGCGTATATTGATTGAGGTGCCAGCCAGCCGTGAATCGATATTATCCGGCCCCCCGTTGATGACTTTTTCATGATGCCACACGCAATTAACTGTAATTTGTGCAAAAGTTTTCCATTTTCGCAAGCCATTTGGCCAAGGCCGATGGCCGGACGCCCAAGAGTCTCTGGCGACCACACAACATTACTCGAAACTTAAAAAATATGACTCTCTTAAAATCAACATTTTGAACAAAGACCAAAAAATCAACAACCTATGTATGTATGTTACCATCTGAATTTCACAATAATGATCATCATATTAACGAGCAATATTTTTTAAAAAAAGCGATAATAGCTTCAATGTTGATAAAAAATAAAGAAAAACAAGAAAGGAAAGCTAACTTCGGGCGGAGCCGAAGTTGATATACCCTTGCAGAATATTATGTACATTATATTCTCCAAAATTATTCATATGATGCATTCTTAATACTCATAAAAAATCCCAACTTCCTAACTTTACAAACACCAAAGTTATGGCATTTTCGATCAATCAGTTATATGGCGGCTATAGGATATAGTCGGCCGATCCTTATGACATTTGGTAGGTCGGATTGATTGGCCAAATATAAAACCCATAGAAAATCCCAACTTCCTAACTTAACAAACACCAAAGTTATGGCATTTCCGATCAATCAGTTATATAGCAGCTATAGGATATAGTCGGCCGATCCTTATGAAATTTGGTACGTCGGATTGATTGGCCAAATATAATACCCATAGAGAGTCCCAACTTCCTAACTTAACAAACAGCAGAGTTATGGCATTTCCGATCAATCAGTTATATGGCAGCTATAGGATATAGTCGGCCGATCCCGGCCGTTCCGACTTATATACTGCGTGCAAAGGAAAGAAGGGTGTGTGCAAAGTTTCAATTCGATATCTTTAAAACTGAGAGACTAGTTCGCGTAGAAACAGACAGACGGACAGACAGACGGACAGACGGACAGACGGACAGACGGACAGACGGACAGACGGACATGGCTATATCAACTCAGGAGGTGATCCTGATCAAGAATATGTATACTTTATAGGGTCGGAGATGTCTCCTTCACTGCGTTGCACACTTTTGACCAAAATTATAATACCCTCTGCAAGGGTATAATAAGGTAACAAGAAAATGTTGTCCCCCATTAAAAAAATATTTTTTAAATAATTTGCCCCAATTAAGATTACTGTAACATACATTAGATAATAATAATAGTTTAATCTAATAGTATAATGAATGTTTAAAAAGGTAAAGTAAATTTAAAATAATTTAATTTTGAACATTGCATAAAAGATCACTAACTAGCAAGTATTTATAAATACTAATTGGATTTGCTCTTATTAAATTGTGTATAGCTATAAAAGTCTTGCTAAATTACTAAAATTCGAGATATTCAATGGATTTCAAACGGACTAAGATGGTTTTTTATTGTGTAATCGGCTTAGGCCATGCCAAAGGGTTGTATGGGCCAAAAAGGGCGTGGCCGGGGGCGTTCGGCCAGCTTATGTGATTATAAGCCAAGAACGTTTTCCGTACGTCCACGTACGTCCGTGTGTCTGTGCAATTGGTTTGACGCTGGAATATTCCGCCTTTATATAGCATTTGCTCAATTCCAAGCACAAATAGGCGATAAAGCCAGCAAAAGCCCTCCGCTAATTTCGAATTAATTTGCACCCAATCAAGCGTACACGTAATACCTAAAAAGCCAGTTCAAATGTTGCAGTTCAGTTCCCCGGTGAGAATTAGATGTGATAAATGAACAATTCTCCAGTGCGAAAAGCGAAACAAAGAAATATGCTAAAACCACTAAACAAGTTAAATAAATAAACAGCAACGAGATGCTTTCGATCGCATCTATTTATCGAGTATTTATAGCGTTTGTTGCTAATTTGCGTGTAAGTTTATTCTCGGCTCTTTCCAAATGCCCTTCACACAATTTGTTTATAGAACCAGATGATTGTTCAGATTGCCTGCTGATAAGTTTGTTGTTTCGGTTGGCATTTTATAATAATTTCACTTAATTGCTTTTTTTGTTCGCTTTTGGTTTGGTTTGTTTTGTTTTAAAGCTGTCTCCTCAGATGGCCTGAAACTGAGTCAGGCAATCGATGGCCTGCAATTTGTTTGTTGTCAGGCGATGAGGGGTGGGCGGGGCAGGGTGTCGCGCGGCAACTACAAGCGAGTGTATATACAGCTAACCAGTACACAGAGAAAAAACTGGATTGGCTTTGGTAATATAATGGTTTAATAGACTTAATTTAAAATGAATTAAATTTATTTTGATTAAAACTGCATTCTAAATACGATAAATCCAATAAATCCAATTATACACTCATAGCAAAATTAACACTAAATTTTATAAATTTGCCATATATGCCTTTATAAGACATTATATAACTATTTTAATAATATTTAAAAACCGAATTGATGACCAAGGATATACCTTTTTGTTCCCTGTGTACTTGCAAAAGCGATTTGTTCAGCAGATGTTTGCCGGGCACTCAAAGGGCTGCGGAGGGGATGGGACTACTACCCGGGCATGCTACCTACTCGAGCACCACCCACTGCCACTCCCCCAGAGGAAAGTGGCAAGTGGCAAGTGGCGGCTCCACTCACCTCGAATCCTCGGATCTTCTGCAGCTGCTCGTTCCACACCAGATAGACCAGGGAAAGGGGCAGGAGCAGCAGGGACACGGCCGTGAAGATGAGCAAATAGCGCCGGATGGCGCGACAGTTTGCCAGGCTCTTGCTCAATTTCATTTAAACTCGGCTCTAGCTGCATAGGAACTGATGGGTATTCTCTCTTCGGTCCTCGCTTCCGGTTTGTATTGGTTTGATTCGGTTTTGGATTGATTTTGGATAGACGACGCGCGTGTTTGCTATTGATAGTCGTGGGACATTTCCTGCTGCTACGCGGTCGCAAAGTTTGCCTGCAGTTGGCGACAGATTTTGTAAGTTCTCATCGTTGTCGACGTCGTGCTGGCTAAATTTAGTTTGCTGTGCTAAATGTTCTTACCCAAAAAAAAAAAGCAGAACCGAAAACCAAATAAATAAAAACAAGAGCGGAAAACGAAAATATATTGAGTAAGCTGGGCGGATGACAGTTTTTAGTTTATGGTCGAGTAGCTTTCGACCAAAATTGTGTCACTGCAGTCGGCCCAGTATTTCGGGGCAAACAATTGATTCGCTTCCGCTTCTGTTCTGCTTTTTGTTTGTTGGGGGTGTGCTTTTGGAGCTTCTACATTTTTTGGCTGCAAGTCAGGAAGCGAAACAAAAGGACGTCGTTTATTGATTTTCTGCTCACTTCAAACTCCATTCTTGGCAGTGCAGCTTGAGGTATGGTGGAGTTCGTGGGAAAAACACCCCTACATAAATTACTTAGCTCTTCATTTTGTCTGCCCGTTAACTCTTTGCACTTCATTGTTAATTTCTCTTTTGTCTTTTATATTTATTTCATTATTTGTTATGAGCTTTCTGCTCATTTTAAATTGTATAATTTATGCTACAAAACAATTTCTCTTTAATATTTTAGTTCTAATAAAAATGTGTTTGTTTAAAAGACCTTTATTCTTAAAGTTCTATCTAGATTTATAGCAAGCTGTTGACTTTTTTCTTGTTATTTATTTTATTATTGATTTTTTGCTCACTTCAAACTCCATTCTGTAGGCCTTTTAAGCCAAAAACACCCCCTATACATTTTCTTGCTCTTCTTTTTGTCTGTTTATGTTTATAAAGTCGTGCCTCATCATTTTCACTTTTTGCATGCTTTTGACTTTGCTTTGTTTATTTATTTTTTTTGCATTTCCTCTGACTTAAGGTCAGATCCATTATGAAGTAAATTAACAAGCTTTCTAAAAAACGTACTTTAGAGTTTTTTAATTGTTTTCTTAATTTTTTAACAATATTTGTTCACATACAATACCATATTGTTTTTAATGGTTTGGGTTTGTTTTAGTTTTTTTGTTTGCCTATTTTAATGTTTTTTTGCGTGTTATGTACTCAAATTTATGGTTTTCACTTTTGCATTGTTTCTCCTTAGGAAATAATGGTTTCTTAATAATTTTATCCACACTCAAGCACACACCAAACTTGGCAAACAAATGCTAAATGCGGGGCGTAAGAGGCGTATACGTAACGTGCTGTCAATTGCTTTGCTTTCTGTGCCCTCTCTCTCACTTTTCCCTTCGTTTCTCTTTCTCTCTGTTCCTCTTTCTTTTCACAACAATAAACAACAACAAAAACGGTGAAGATGAGCCTCCATTAATGGAGGGCAACTTTTTAGCTGTTGTTATTCAATTGTTTGCCAATTAAAGAAAAGCGCGCAATCAATATCAATTCGCCAGGCGTGCTTTGATACAGTTTTTTTAATAGATGGGGAGAGAGGGGGAATGGCAACAAACAACTAACAACAAACACTAACCGTTAGCGTCATCACCGCACAACGCACATTTCACGAATGAAATCAAAATCAAATGCGAAATGAGCACAGGCGGCGGGCAGCGACGTCGGCAGCGCAGCAGCAGCGCAGTTTCAGTTTTCGGTTTCATTTCGCCACTTTTTATTCTCTCTTCCTTTAATTTTTTTTTGGCTTTGCATTCCTTGGTTCCTTGATTCCTTGATTCTTTCTTGAGCCTTGTTTACCCGTGCGATTGTTGCTATTTTTGGGTGGCTTTTTGGGGGTTGTTACAGGCCACCTTTGATTTGTTTATCGGCGGGCGCGGGGTGGGCGGAAATACCTTGGAATTCTGGGTTAACGCAGCACAACAATTTTTGTTTATTGCTGAGCAAAAGCGCCGGTAACGGTAGGCGAGAGAGCAATGAGAGCAAACATGCAAGAGAGAGAAAGCAGAGAGAGTGCAGAAAGTGCGCAGTGAGAGAGCGGCATGCAAAAGGTTTGCGGCCACGGTTTCGTGGGGGGAACTCAAAGTTTTGGGGCTTAAATTAGATAGATAGTATTCGTTTTTAAAAAATGTATTCAAAAATTTGTTAAGAATAAAAGTATCTTTTTTAAAACCGGAAATCAATAGATTTTACTTACTAAATTTTAAGTTATGGAAGTTTGATTGTAGTACATCATGACATTTGCTATAAAAATAAAAATACGATGTGTTGATAGTTGAAATCGCCTGTAAAAGTATGTTTTGAAAAATTATTCGCTACTTTCACTCGCATTTTTTATAGCATATTTTCCGGGGTTTCAAATCAAATCACTATTGGCATGATAAAGTTAACAACAAAAAAACAAAAATAGCATAAAATTATCAAAATGTATGTTCGAAATGTATTTAAAAATAGCATGCGGTACAAAATTTTTCATTTTAAATACAAGCCCAAATTCCACTTGAGATTTAAAAATAAGTTTATCAGCTTATATATAAATTTGGTTTTAAGGGCCAAACAAAAAGCACATGTTAAATTTCCCTTTTTTAATCAATCTTATCAGCTCCAAGTTGAATGACCTAACTTACAAGTACAATTGATAGATTAAAAGCTTCTGTTATCAATTCCAAATATATTCCATTACAAAAATAGCGTTCTTTTTCATAAAATGTTAACATTTAAAAGTTGTTTTACAAATTCGCTTATTGAAAAGCCCCAATGAGAGGTAATATGTAAATGCAAATGTGGAAGGTCTTAGTCACAACTTGATTTGTTCTTAGTATTTGATGAGGGAATGTACTTTTCCATCCAGCTTTTTTCTACCCTCCAGGCCAACAAGTTCTATAACTACCAGACTTTCCACGACAATGCCACCTACTTTGCGGATTAATTCGGAGGCAGCTTTTAAGGAACCACCTGTGGCTAGTAGATCATCTACGATTACGACTTTCTGACCAGGCTGGACGGCGGATTTTTGCAGCTCGAACGTGTCCTAAAATAAAAGAGTAAATATTGAGATGATAATGTGGACACAATAGAAACTACACCTGTAACTTGAACTTTAACAAATCCATATAGCTTAAAAATGTAATTAGGTATTATTTATTCCAAATCACGAAGCTCTTTTTATTTTTTTGTTATTGTTCGAGTCTGGTGCTTCAATTAATTGGTACTTACACTTCCATATTCCAGCTTGTACTCCACGGAAACCACGTCACCGGCCAGCTTTCCTTTCTTTCGGATCGGGGCACATCCTATACCCAACTCAGTGGCTATGAGGAGATTGAAGAGGAAACCCCGCGAGTCCAGTCCCACGATAATCTCCGCCTCGGGAACACTTTCCCGGATGTGATCTACGAGCAGATCCCTCAGATAAACACAGGCCTTAGCATCGGTGAGGGCTCCAAAAATGTCGCTGATGTTTTACATGAAAACGGAGGGTTCTACATTATTGACAAGCTGATAAGAGGTCATAATGTGCAAACAAATAAAAACCATAGTTGCGCCCATTTAGATAGTCTCGCGCAATGATAACCCACCGAAATAGAATGCCCTCCTTCGGGAAGTTTGGATACTCTCCAATCTTTGACTTCACGTAGTTCAGTTTGTCTTCCGCACTGATTGGGCTCATCTTTCTTTCGGTTTTTTTTTGTTGCTTTCAGTCAACTTAAGTTAAAGGGAATTTTTACAGAGGTTTTCAGATTTTAGAGCTACGTGAGTGCGTGCCCAACTGCGGATTGATTCAAGGGAACAGCTGATAAGTCAGCTGCTATCGGGGAAGGTGGTTGCTACAGATGTGAGATACTTTATGCGATGAATGTTGGAGTTGAGTTCGCTGGGCGGTCGATTTGAAATTTAGGTGGATATGGAAATTTGTTGGTTTTTTAGAATCATGTCTGAAGGTTATTTACAAATATTCATAGAAAAGTTTCGTTTCATAGAGTTTAATCAAACATTTTGTTTAGTTATAAGTTAAAATTAGTTTTTGAAGTGTTTAAATTTAATTTGGATTATTAACAAATTAACTCCAAGTAAAAGCTACTAAAATAATTTCATATAAATATAATTATATTGGCTTAAATGGTGTGTGTTTAAAAAGGAATAACATTTCTGACTTAAAATAGGTATGTTTAAGTACTAATGTATACTATGAGATACTTAATGCAATATACTCCGTGTAGTTTTTATATTCTTAAATATTTTTTAAACCCTTTTTAAGGCTTTACATAGTAAGTACGATAGTAATTTAAATACTGAAATGATCTACAGTCTTGAAGTAGATATTTAATATATCTATTTCATATCTTTCAATTTGGGTTCTTTAAATTTTCTTTGTTCCTTTTATTCTACGTTAATTTCTGAGCCTAATTTTCAACACATTGCTGGCTAGGTATTCCCAGATTCAATATTTGCCTTGGCATTTTCTTGCACAAAGAAAACATTCCCGGGAATTCGGCAAACATCCTGCAGGTAGCAGTGAAAAACCTCCCCCGAATTTTCTCCGTTTCCCTGGCTCTTTCTCTAGATCTCATTATCTAAACGATAAGTGGAGAAATCTCAGCAATTCTTCGAGGGAAAGACACTCATTGCTGCATTATTTATCGGGCAAAATGATTGAAAAGAAATGCCAACAATTTTCGCTGCACTTATCAAAGGCGAGCCAAGATCGGGAACTCTCACCTGGACTCTCTATCTCTTCCTCTCTTTCTCCCAGTCACACACACAGGTGAGCGACAGGTAAGACCAGGTGAATGTGAGTATCTATGTGACTGTATCTTAGACTTCCAATGCCAAGAAATATTCAGTTCGTTTTTCAGCGCCGAACGCGACGGTTCAGTTTAAGCTGTTTCTTCCGAAGAAGCGGATCGAATTCTCTGCCCGCGATTTTTTCAATAATTAATGCAAACTCGCGAACAATAGTAATAAATTAAAACAACAACAATAATCAACACCTAAGTCCAGTTAAAACCGAAACCTGTTCTTGATAAACGTAAGCAAAATATCGCATGGAAAAGCAAGAGTTTGCAAATCCTCAAATTAAATTCGATCTTAACGGCAAAAGTAAATGTCAGCCGACAAAACTGCGCACCGTTTTTGCCATTTAAAAAGTCGGAAAACGACTATAAAGCCAGCCATAAACAACAACTATATCGCAGTTACAACAATAACAACTGAAACAACAAAGTTCAAGCAACATAAAAACGTGAAAACCTACAAAAAATAAATATATGTATATGCAACATCATTTACAACAGCAACAATATTGCAAAGTGCAGCAACACATTCACATGAATGTTTACACTTGGAAAATTAGTTTTGAGGATCAATTTAAATTTAATTTAAATATTTTATATTTTGGAACTAGTCTTAGTTTTATTGATCGAACATATTTAAGACGTTTACGAAAATTTGATCTTAAATATACTGAAATAGGGTTTTTTTCTGTGTGCTAGACACACATACCCATATAACTTGGCAATGTGAAGATGTGCGTATTGAAACTGCAACAGCAACAACCACTGCTGCAACTGCAACTGCAACAACAACTGCTGCTGCAGCGGCACAAAATGCGCGCCCGAGTAACGTGAAAAACCAGAAAGAGGCACAGTTTTTTTGTTTTTCTGTTTGGTTTTGTTTTTATACTTTTTTTTGAGGCAAACGAGCATCTCGACTGAAACTTCTGCGGCTGCGCGGTGGCGGCCTTCGTGGCGAAGGGCATGGAAATAGGGCGCTTGGAAAACAGCAAAAAAAAGGGAAATTTATTGCCGAAGCTTGGAGGATAAATATTTAAAGAGCATTGTTTTGTTTTCAATTCTTTAGTTTGGAAAAATATGTAGAATATTAGAGTTAAAAGGCAATAAAGGTTCACTTTTTTTTTAGTTAATACTTTGTACCCAAAATACTAGGAATTAAAAGTAACCCATTGAAATTGTAGTTCTTTATTTTTACTTCTGTAAACGTATTTTATATTTTATTTAAGCTTGGGATGTTTTTAAATATTATTTGTAATTTTGTGTATTATTATTTGTTATTTCGTATTAGCTTCCATTCTAACAGTATTTCAATTGGCTCCTCAGATCAAAAAAGTATATTAAGGGTATTGTGGAACTTCTTCATATTAGAACATATGTAGAGTTTAAAGTCAGTTCTTCAGGACCCTTTTAAAAGCACTTAAAGCGCCCAAAAGAACCTTTAGCCGCTCCTGACTTTCGTAGGCCCAAGTGGAGTGAAGAATCCCGGTGTGAGTTACTATTATGTATAGACCCCCATTGTAGTTGGATGTTGGGCCCCGTTCATCGTGCTGGCTCTTGGTATGCGCGAATGTTTGCTAACATCCAAATCGTGATCTAATAAAAAACGTAGAAAAACAGAGACACATACCAGAGGCCCACAAGCGAGTGAATGAGTGAGCGGACCAGCTTTGGATGGGATTGAATTGAATTGGCTTGGATTGGAGACGCTTCAAAGGGGCCGTGTGTGTGGAAGCCACCAACTTTCGCAAAAAGTAAACTCTCGAAAAAAGTGGACTTCACCCAAGATGGATGGCAGCTGTAAAGGCTGTCAATACATTGAGTAACTGACCACATAAAAACAGAAAAAGTTTTGCCGGTTCTCCTGGTCTTCAATCCCGTTCCGTTTTCGTGTTCTCCTTGTTGTTGAAAAAAAGAAATCGTCTGTTCCGAACGAAATATATGCCAAAACGATCGTAGCACCAAAAATATACATACATTGTAAAAGGGGAACCCGAAAGAAATGGCAAAAGCGAAAAAATTCGAAACAAAAACATGGAACAAGAGCCACTTTAAACGCCATTTCCGCATAATTCTGAAGTGTAGGAACCAGTTTCCAATGGTGTTGTCTGAAATTTAGCAACTTTTTTGAGAAACTACGAACGTGTTAATCAAGCCCCTGGCAGCACCAACGTCTTTAACGTGTTTTAGGTTCCACTTTGTTGGCCAAAACAAACCATAACAAGCTAGTTACATATATGAGTGCTGCCCTGATCGCCAAGCGGAACAATGAGAGATTTTCCCCCGCTTAGCCGGTGAAAAGCTGAAAATGTGAAAATTAATTGCAAGTGTGCGGCCAATTGGTCGGTGTTTTTGCTTTTTTTGGGGTCTTGCGAGGTGAGGGAACCCCCATATCAAAGTCAAAAGCCGCTCCAGACACGGGGTACTCACCTCTCGGTCGTCTGTGCCTAATGTGAAAATTATGTTTATAAAGTAGAAAGTCATCTGAGGCTCAGGGAGATGGAATGACCAATGTTGGTAATGGTAATGGAATGGAATGGAAAGAAAAGAAAGCCCGTCCCGCTCTCAGTTTGGAGTGCAGTTTTCGCAACTGCCACTGCAATTCCAGTGGCATTTCTCAGATAGCCATTAGCCACGTTTAAGGTATTGCCATTACCCAACTGACCTTATTTCGTCGCTCATACGAGTATGTGCAGTCTCAGCTCAAAAGTCGCCGTAATTGCTGAGATTGCAATTCACCCAAAGCTGCTAATTTTGGCTGGTTTTTTGTTGTACTTATTGCAGTGCACAGGAAACAAAACGATCTTTTGATATGGGGGTCAAGCTGGTCTTATTTCATTTGATAACAAAATACAAGATACAAAGTATATTTAGTAATCTGCTGATTTGCTTTTTAGCATATCAGCTTAACAATGTACTAAGAGGTAATCAAAATGATGTATGTTAAAAGTGCACTATTATAAAAATTGGTACATACAATATTTCTATACTTATTGAGCTTATAAAAAAGCAATGATAATTAATGTTACAAAAATAGAAATGGTATAATAGCATTTTTAATTATTATCTATGATCATGCATTTTAGAATTAAACATTTTAATTAAATATTGTAAAGGTTGAAATTAAATTTACTATCTAAGATGAAGTATATGTTATATATTTGTTATCGAAGGGAAAACCCTTCTCATTCTTAGTTTATTACCTTTTAAAGGTTTTAATGTTTTCTTATAAATCATTTTGATCTCCAACAACCTTATTCGATCTCCGATCTTGATTGATTTGTGGATATTCATTTAGGAATATTTGAATATTTCCCCCGTATTTCTTGCTGTGCAAGTGAAACTTGGTCCAAAAAGTCGGAATACTCTACCGCCGGCCGGTGAGCGGATGTAACCCAAGTCGGGCCAGATTCACTGATTTTGCTGCGTCATACGAACGGTTGGAAGGCTCTCCGCTGGTCACTTTCTTTTTGGTCACGTTCGAGCCCGAAAAAGCAGCAGTGCAGTTAAGTTTTACACGCCCAACAAACACTGAAAACCAACTGCAAATTACGAATTACACCACTGAAAACTCCAGCGAAGATAAAGGAAGTTATTAGACGTCTGCGGTTTGTCTGTCTGGTCCACTGTAATTTTCCCGAGACTCGCTTTTCAGGCTCTCCACTCATGAGTCATGGACAAGATTTTCCATCGATTCGATTTGTTTGAGACAAGTTATCACGTGCCGGCAGGAAAGTTTTCATTATGTTACTGGGTTGGGCTTGTTGTCTGTTTGCCTGTTTGTTTGTTTGTTCTTCGGACCCGACTCTCTCTTCTGTTGTTAGCATTGTTGTGTTAATCGATTCCACTTTTGCCTTGGACTCTAGCTTCCAACTCCCATAATTGAGTCTTATTCTCTTTGTTTGCCATGGCTTTAATTCACCTTAATGAACCAATCTTGACCAAGTTCCTTTTGTTGGACTTCTCACGGGCAGAGACTTTTGTGTTACAGTTTCCTCGGTTTCAACA